AGCCGTTTCGGAGGAGTTTGGTAACAAATACCGTGACACGAGAATTTTATATATTAGTTATTCCCCTTGTACTTATACTTGTGTGTTATGTATGTTTTGACAGTAGTATTAAAAAAGGTACCTGTTATTTGAGTCCCATCATTTTGCTGTTGAGTGCAATCAATGTCGTATTTGATAAAGTTATCTCGGAAACTTTTAAGTAAATCAGGGGGGTCCAAAATTGTAACGATTTCATGATTCTTAAAATAAAAAAAGGGATTTACTACTGATGAACCGAGTAAATTTAAAGCTTTCACATTCACAGCAATATTCTTACAAACAGTAGCTGCAATAATGAGTCCAGCCTGGAAGCTAGCTTCAAGGACCTACAAAAAATATATATATGTGCTGATTATTCTGCAGTACTAACTTAGTGTACATAATACAATTCAGATTCGATGATTGCATAAACATACAGAATATACTGTGCTTTTATACATACTCTTATATTTCTATAAGAGAGAGAAACCATGAATACTAAAATACAAAACGTTTTAGGATCACATAAATAAAGAACGTATTTATTTATTATTACATGAATTACTACATTTTCAATCGAATTTAAAAAGGAGGATTTAAATTCGGTTGTATTTTTTGTTTGTTTGTCATAACTCCGATAGTTCTAAACCAATTTGAAAAAATATTTTATTATCCGAATTATATGAATATACTTACAGAATGGTTCCATAGAAATTTTATTGAAATCGGTCTAACAGTTTAATTTTTGAAACAAAATAACTGGTTTTGTTACAACTGAAGTTTTTTGTGAGATACAATTTTTAAATATTTTATAAATGGAAATAAAATATTACCTACCTCCTTAATAAGAACAGATAATTCGTCCGCCGTAATAGAATCACCAGAAAAATAATATGCAAGTGGTTGTTTCCATTTTTTTCTAATACCAATGGCCATAAATAATAATGCACGTGATGCTAGCTCTGTAGATCTACCTTGGGTACCGTGATCTTGGTAACCATTAATTATATCTTGTTCATTATTATATGATAATTTCTTTCGTATTGGCATTTCATCAAATGCCAAAATACAAAGATTTTCATAGCTTATTTGATCATCTGCGGTTCTTTTGATTGTATCAAATATTTTATTGTTTATGCCACATTTTATTGGGACATCATTTAAAAGCGCCTTTAGTGTGTATTCACTGGGCAAGCAAATAAGACGTTTTAGTAATCTGTAGCATGTAGTTGATCGTTTATATATACTCAAAGCCAAAACTTTGTCATCAATAGACCATTTTCGTCCAGTAAATTTTCTTGGAGCTTTTACAAGATGACTTTGCAATAGCAAAGCAATTGAACCAGATATATTTTTGTCCATCAACTGTTTAACATTTTCACTTGATACTAATGCTTGTAAAAGTGCATGAGGTTGTTTTCTAAGAATTTTTGTTAGCCTCATTATTTCATGCAAGTTCCTTGTGCACCTTTGGTATAGTTTACGCTTTTTAGGAGTTAATTCAGCAGCTTTATTGATGTCTAGCTTTCTCAATATTTCTTTAAACACCTTTGATGCCTGAAATATGAAATAGATTAATTAATAAATATTATGACGACTAAATAATTAATAATAGATTAATTAATTACTTTGTACCAGAGGGAGACTGTACAAAACTGTACACTATCTGCTTGGAATTCTCTGTCCCATTCAAGTTTCTGCTGTGAAACAGTTTTTTTTTATATTTTTTTTTATACTACTTAGAATGGCAAACAAGCTGACGGCCCACCTGATGAAAAGTAGTAACTGTCGCCTATAGACATGAGCAGTACCATGGACATAATAGAGTATACTGTTTCGCCCATGATACCCCCCATGCGTTGCCATTCCTGAGGACTCAGGTGTTATTCCTCTGTACCCAGTAAATTCACAGTTGTGTTTACATGGCTGTGTTTCAATTTGAAAGGTGATAGTTTGCATTTTCCATCAGATAGGCCATTATGTAGCTAGTTTGCCATTCTAAGTTGCATAAAAAAAATATATTTGTTAATATTGTAAGTAATTATGAAAATTTGTTTGTTTGTCAACCAATTATCATGAAATTTAGTATACCTATATATAGTGATTAAGATGGTATGATGGTATTTAAGATATACAATCAACATACACTGCTAACACATGAGACACAGGTATAAACTAGTAAATATATTAAAATAGAGACCAAATGAAGCTAATATACATTATACTTAACAATGTTTGTAAGAATTATTTTTTAAATATAACCCTGTAAAATAAAATTCACCTGTTCACCCAGCTGTTTCTGGAATTTTCTTGTAGAATTACTTTCAAAACTAAAGGTTTCTATATAAGATAAAAAGTTATAACAATAGATATAAGCAAAGCACTGCAGTTTTATACATTTTTAAATCAAATACAGCCCATACTCACTGGCAACTGGCTGGTTGTATGTGGTAACCATCACTTACAGATATGAATAGCACCATGGACATACCTGAGGACTATGATGCCATTCCTAAACACTATGATGATTGCACATGAAAGGATTATTAAAATAGTAACTTATTTAAGTTTATTGATTACAAAAAATAAAATTTTTCCTCTGTATAATATTTGTTCAGATAAACTTACTTGATCTTCCTTAATATCATGGTTAGGGGCATCATCCAATATTTCACAGGATTTTTCACGTTCTTCTAACTGGCGTAACTCTAACAATAGGTTTTGTGCATCAGCTGGAATGGCAAAATTGGTCAATCGTGTTCTTGAACTATTGGTATATGATGAGTCATCAAAATGCTTACTGCATAACATCTTATGTTGCAAGTATAAATCATTCAATGACTTTTCAGTTGACCAATCTTCATCTGGATAACAGTATTTAGCCCACACACGCGCCCTATAATAATTAAATTTTTTATACAATTTTTTAATGTATAAATGGGACAATAATTAATGAAGTGAAAATAGAATGGTAATCCTGCCTGTACCATGGTATATGCTAATAGGACACCAATTATTTGACGGATGATAATGGAATGGCAACCACTTTCACACTATTGTTATAGCAAAACAGAAGTTAACCCATCACAATGAATTCCACAAACATTAATTTTGAATCTGATAGACTACATTGCCATAGAAATGGACCTATTCAAACCCAATAATACAAATAATCAAAACTAATCTTCCCATTACTAAAAATCCCCTTCCCCCAATAATATCAGGTCATTTAGACCATAGTATCAAATTTAACAGGAATGAACCATGATTGTTTCTAGAGCGGATTGTATAGAGATCCACTTGACAGATTATATTGTTGGGTACTTAAGTGTCATCTGAATATGTTGTGATGGCCAGTTGTTTATATCTACACAGTGATGATTACCACTCACCAACAGATGGAGACTTGTTTACTAATATATAAATAATGTACATATATGATAGTTCACAGTAAACAATGATTTAAAACAAAAAAAAAATTACATATTTGTTTTTAAAGTTGTGCATAAATTTATTAATTTACTCTAAAGAACAATTATTGATCTACAAATTGTATATTTGTCAGAGTTACAGCTGAATACCTACTTTGTTAGGAGTAGATATACATAAAAAGACAGACCAGCATAAAAGTAATAGTAGCACTAGTATTGAACACAATAGATTTAGTTCTTAATCCAAGTAACTTAATTATAATAAATATAACAGTTTATTTATAATAAATACAACACACACTAAATACACAAAACACTATATCACAGTATTATATTAAAATATTATTTAAATTGCAAAGACAGTTTTTAGACAAAAGTCAATTCGTAAAAACATGACAAATATAAAGGTTACTAGGCAATATTTTCCTATTTTCAAATTTCACTAAAGAGTTTATTAATACCTAATTTGCACCTTAACAATACTTAGTGCCTTAAAATTTTTTTTAAGGTGAGTAGGGAGGCACACAATGATTCAACGTACCTAGTTAGTAGATCAACTCAAAATATTTTCAACACAGATGGTTACAGAAGAATGTTAAAATAATTATTATTATTTAGCAAAATTACTCGAGTTCTAGGTACTTACTTTAACGACCGGTGTTTACCAGGTTGAGGAAATCTATGAAAACTCAGATTTCGATCTTGTACTGGACTACTGCCACATTTGGCACATTTCCTATAATGTTCTTTGTTTCCCATTTTAACCTAAATAAAAAAATATTATTATATTCAAACGAAAACACTTAAAAATTGCACATAGGTAAACAATCAATGTTAAACACAGAGTACTCAAAGAATTAATTCTGTAAACATGAATAACAATAAAAGTCTACTCTATGACTGCAGTCACCTTGACACTTATTATATGTCAAATGAGTTATGAAATTCCAAGAAAGTGTCACTTTAAACAAATAATTTTACTCTTTTATTTATATTAGAAAGTTGGCTAACAGGTGTGCAGCCCATCTAATAGTAAACAATCAATAGGGTTAATTCTGAGGTATCATGTCTACATTTCTCTTGTAGATACTAAAATCAAAATTCTTTATTGTAAGGACGAATGTGAACCAATTTTCTAATACATTTAAGTCCAAACTATTACAAACCTGGTTTTCTACACAAAACACAAAAATTTCGTGCAACTGTCACATTAAAATATTGAGTTAAAAGATAAGGTTAGAGGAATGGTAACTCAGAATCAGCGCCACTGTAGCCTATTAACTAAATATCTAAAATGTAAAATGCATGCTATCTATACAATTAACCAGTACATTAAACTTAAAAAATAGTATAATATAAAATAATAAAATCTTTTATAGTACGTACCAATATAAATATTTTGAATAAAGGCGTATGATAAACAGACGTGCAACTATTACTACTTATATTTGCACGTTTGTTTATCATACAGTACTAAAAATTTTTTTATTATTTTATTTTATTGACACTTTTGGTTGCATAGATGTATTTTCTACTTTTCTAAATATAAAGTCGGTGACGACTTTTAAACGTTGATGGTGACAAGTGAATAATTGATTATTGTTTTGTGGCATTATCCTAATCGTTTTGTGTAGCCAATTCTATTCAACTATTTCATAAAACAGTAAGAGAAAGTGTACCTAATTTATTAACTTTTTCCATGGTACTATAAAAAATGGATCTTGCAAAATCATTTTTTAGTTCTCGTGATCATGAGGGCTATGTAGGACGCGAAGATCATGAACGCAAAATCAGTGCAGCTTTAGCAGACGATGATCCAGAAGATGTAATTGATTCAATACGGGGTCTAAATATAGCCGACGAACTGCTTCCAGCTCCTGGAGGACCATTTTCCGCGCTTACAGCAAGTATGGTACCACAAGATATCATGGCTAAACTAGCACAACCAGAATCAGAAGGGCACAGTGTGGGTTTACCTGACTACAGGTTTGACGAGTTTGGCTTCTGTGTCGAGGAAGAAGACGGACCTGAACAGAGTTCCAACAAATTATTAGCAAATGCCTTTGTTGAAGATGACCAGCATCGTCTCCAGTGGGAATTCTACAGTAAAGAAATCAGTTTTTCTGTAACAGAAGGCAAAATGGAAAAAACAGATAAATTACATCAGATGGTCAAAGATGGTGTGCCTCATTCACTCCGCCCGCAAGTGTGGATGCATCTCTGTGGTGCTAACAAGAAAAGAGCCACAACTGAAATTACATATCATGAAATTGTGAGAGCTTCAAGTGATGATGGACTGGTAACTAGTAAGCAAATTGAAAAGGACTTAGTCCAAATACTGCCCAACAATGTTTGCTTTTCTCATCCCACTAGTACAGGTGTACCAAGACTCAGACGAATTTTAAGGGCCCTTGCATGGTTATATCCAGATATTGGGTATTGTCAAGGTACAGGAATGATTGCAGCATCGCTGCTGCTTTTAATGGAAGAAGAAGATGCATTCTGGATAATGTGCACTACTGTGGAGGATCTCCTTCCAGCATCATATTACTCATCAACATTGATTGGTATTCAAGCTGACCAGAAAGTTTTGAGGAGTTTAATCTCAACATATCTGCCAGGTATAGACCAAGTTCTAAATGCTCATGACATAGAGCTCTCTCTCATAACAATGCATTGGTTTTTAACATTATATGCCAATGTTGTACATATGAAAATCTTGTTGAGGATTTGGGATTTATTCTTTTTAGATGGTTCTGTAGTATTATTTAAAGTGACATTGGCTATGCTTAAAATTAAAGAGAATAGATTCACTGAGATATCTAACTCAGCTCAGATTTTTAATGCATTATCAGACATTCCTGGTGAAATAGATGATGTCGATCTCATGATTAAAACAATTGATGAAGTATGTGGTGACACTTTAAGTCCTACTCTAATAGACACACATAGGAGGAGACATTTAGCTTACCTTATGGCAGATCAAGGTGCTCTAGTTGGAAATCCAAATGCAGTCCCCAACCTCCCTAAACAGCAATTACAGAGACGTCAAATTAAAAGGAATAAGTCAGTTATTCAAACAATTCTCTTTGGAGAGGATAGTAACAATGAAGATGCTATTTCAAAAAATGTTAAGCAAACTGAAATATTAGTTGATCTTAGAGAAGCAATATTACAAGTTGCTCGTCACTTCTTGGCACTAGAGCCACAGTTGGCTTCTGAAATTCAACTAACTGCTGACTACACAATGCAGAGTCATGCTGCAGATAGAGAAAGATATGTTAATGTATCCAGGAGTAAAAGGAGACGAGCAAAAGCATTACTGGATTTTGAAAGGAGGGATGGAGATGAATTGGGCTTTAGAAAGAATGATGTCATTGAAGTTATCAGTTCTAGAGATGAGCACTGTTGGATTGGTGAACTGAATGGCCTCCGTGGTTGGTTTCCTGCCCGCTTTGTCAAATTGTTAGATGAGAAAGGAGTTAAATATAGCAGAGCTGGAGATGATTCTGTTACAGAAAAGGCAGCTCATTTGGTTAGAGGTGTTCTTGCTCCTGCTTTCAAAAGAGTTCTATTACATGGAATTAAAAAGCCTAGTTTTTTGGATGGTCCCTGCCACCCATGGCTGTTTATTGAAGAGGCTTCATCACGCGAAGTAGAAAAAGACTTTAACTCTGTTTACAGTCGCTTGGTGTTATGCAAGACTTATCGTTTAGATGAAGATGGAAAAGTTTTAACACCTGAAGAATTGTTATATAGATGTGTCCAAGCTATCAATTTGTCCCATGACAATGCTCATGCTCAAATGGATGTAAAGCTACGCACATTAATATGTATGGGTTTAAATGAAGAAGCTCTGCATTTGTGGTTAGAAGTTTTATGTTCTTGTGTGGATGTTGTCCAAAAATGGTACCATCCATGGTCTTTTATAAACTCCCCTGGTTGGGTTCAGATTAAATGTGAATTAAGAATACTATCTCAATTTGGTTTTAATCTGAATCCAGAATGGGAGCTGCCATTAAAGAAGGACACACAAAATCAACCACTAAAAGAAGGTGTTAGAGATATGCTTGTAAAACATCACTTATTTTCTTGGGATCTGTAAACAAAAAAAAAAAAAACTAGGCAAATATATTTAAATTTAATGTGCAATATTTGTAATAAGTATTATATATTTAATTAATTTATTAGATTAAGCTTGCCTATTTATGACACTTCTAAAGTACAATTATATATAGGTATATATAAAATAACATTGCATTACTTCAAAATCTAATTATCTTTAAATGTATAAGTATCATGTCATGTATGTAATAAAAGAAATTCTATGCAACATATTTGACAATTTTTTTTATTTTGTATATTGGAATGACGGATAAGTATGTGAATTGAATACACTTCATAAAAATGAAAAATATTTTAAATATAAGGGTAAACTCTTTTCGGGTAAGAATCATTCGAATCGTTTTCAAATTATATGCTATTTAACACGATGGTTCGACAGTATACTAAAATCTCAGAGAAATGTATGTCCTCGGAATATTTTTCAACAGTTTAGTATGATTTCTATGTCAATAATACTTAGATTTTCCTAGTGACTAGGTATTAATTTTTTTAGAAGTAAAATTTTCTTTTACAGCAAATACTGGGCGCAAGTTTGCTAAATGTAGTGATGCGCGACTACTAATTATTAGACAGCAATTCATTAGATTTATTAGAATGATTTTCAAATTATTCGACTACTAATTTTATTCAATTGACTATTAATTTTAACCGATTACTAATGTCGTTGTTACTAATGTAGTAGTTGATGTACAAGTCGGTACGAGTCGGTACGAACATAACTGAGTCGCCCCGATCGCTGCAGGGGGAAAGGGATTATTACTAATGGGGATTTACCAGTTCCATAACTGGCAATATACCATGTCGACCTTCACGAGGTTCTTCCTAGAAACCATCGTGGTTAATTTTTGTAAAATTTATCACAATGGGCTAACTGACATGCTTTAATTCTCACCTATCATCACTCACTCTCACTGGTGTCCTCTCAGCGTATATCGATAGCGCAGGAGAGATTACCATGTCATTATAATTCCACAAAAAAGAAGACTCGATGACTGGAATGGCGTTTTTTTTTTTATAATGGACAAGAGTGTTACACAATTTGTTACATTATTGTTTAGGTTTTTGTTTTTGTCGTCACTTGTTATCACTGACCTTGTTAAATTGCCACGAAAAAGACTTGGTAGTAGTAGATACAGAAAAAGGACTTTGTTTTCGTTATTTTGATGGTTACTAATTAGTAAAATTGGGGGGAAAGGGATTGTTAGTAATGGAGACTGAGAATCCCATTGTTAGCAATATACCCAACCAGGTCGACCTCCTCGCGGTTCTCCCTGGAAACTATCATGGTTAATTCTTGATGAATTCATCATGATGAGCTAACTGGCCTGTTTTCATTCTCATCTATCACCCTTCACTGGTGCTCCGCTAGCGTATCCCGTTAGCGCAGGCGGGGCTACTATACCATTTTCACTCATCAAAAAAAAATTTGTAAAAATTGAGGAGCAAGGGATTGTTAGTAATGGAGACTAAAAATCCCATTGCTAGCAATATGCCCAACCAAGTCGACCTCCTCGCGGTTCTCCCTGGAAACTATCATGGTTAATTTCTGATGAATTCATCATGATGGGCCAACTGGCCTATTTTCGTTCTTATCTATCACTCTTCACTGGTGCTCTGTCAGCGTATCCCGTTAGCGCAGGCTTTCCATTCCATTTTTACTCATCAAAAAAAATTTGTAAAATCATTTAAATATAGAAATCAATATATTACTAATTCAGTAGTCGAATTATAAAATTAGTAATTACTAATTATTTTAATAACAAAATCATTCGGAATCGCGCAGCGTTATATAGCAAAATGTATAAAATTACTTGCTACAATACCACATACAACAATTACTTTCTAATCGTTAAAAGTTGTTAAACGATTTTTTCTCTGACAAACCGTCTTTTGCAAACAAGTGGCAAATAACAATTAATTCGTGTTAGTAATTTTAATCATTCCTAAATCGCTTAACTGGAATAGTATCTTATGAAGTGTAGTATGCTATATTAAGTTTATGTGTTGCATATATATTTCCACATTAATCGCTTTAATATAATACTTATCAGAAAGTAGGCAACAAAGGCATGCTAATATAAATAAATAAATACCAATTCTACAAATATAGTGCAATTTTGGCTGTCTAAAACTATTATTAAGTTATTAAGTAACTAATCTAAGCTAATGCAGTCCGCCTTAAACATGCATTAAAATATACGATAGAAATTTTAAAAAGGCAACATTAGATCAAGTATCAAGTGGTTCAAACTGACAGTGACACTGACAGCAATACGTAATACAAAAGTGTCACTAAGCCGTCTAAATTTTTCTTTCTTTTATAAATTGTGAAGTGAGACGTGCTTGTTCTCTCCGAGCTAAGGCCAAAAGGCGACTTGCACGTATATTATTAAAAATGGCAACGAAAGCCGAATTAGCTTGCGTTTACTCAGCTCTAATCCTTGTTGATGACGATGTTGCTGTTACTGTAAGTTGTAAATTATTATTTATTGTTTTAGGTTATAGCACGACTTAGAATTTCAATGTGAACGTGTTTATAAATCCACATTAATCTCTATTTTCACCTAATGTTTACTTGTTTATTATTTCAATTTTATATATATTCGCGTGTCTGCGCACTATTAAACCATTATTTTTCATGTTATTACTAAATTACTCACGATAACTTCACTTATTTTAGGGTGAGAAAATCTCGACCATTCTGAAGGCTGCGGGTGTAGATGTTGAGCCTTATTGGCCAGGTCTATTTGCCAAGGCGCTCGAAGGTGTGAATGTAAGAGATCTCATCACAAACATCGGATCTGGTGTGGGAGCCGCGCCGGCTGCTGGAGCGCCTGCTGCTGCCGCCGCCGCGCCTGCCGCTGAAGCCGCCAAGGAAGAGAAGAAGGAAGAGGAACCTGAAGAGTCCGATGATGACATGGGCTTCGGTATGTTAATTGCAAATAACTTGAGGATTTGTGTAAATTGAAATTCTTTATTGTGAAAGAAATGATCTTTTCGTGGAAGAATTGTGTGACTATGATGATGTAGTTATTTAATGTTCTATTTTCTCATAATTATGAATTGATACCTGCACACCACAAATATTATTATTATTTACTATAAACATTTGTGTCTGTTTATATTTATGGATTTGAGTGTACAATATGTGGGAATGCATTTATAAAAAAATGAGTTATATCAGTAATACTCATAGTCATAACTTCTCCTTTATTCAGAGTACATGATACTAATAGGAACATATTATATAAAGGATATTTGTTTATTGTATTTATAACTATATACTTCCAATGATGTATGATTTTACATGTATTAGCTTCAGAAAATGAATGATAGACATTTTTTTACTGAGGAAAATATTTTATCATTCTGTTTACTTTCAAGTTTCCATAGTTGTCTAATTCATATTTTTGTTTTGTTTCAGGTCTATTTGACTAAAAAGCTTTACTTTAAAGCTATGGTATTCCATTGTAAGCTTTATGAAGCTTTTAGTTTTAAGGAAATGACTTTATAAAAAAAGTTTAAAACAAGAGCATTTTGATTTTTAATTAATAACCTTCTTAAAAAGCAGTGTTGAGTGCAAGATATCTGTTTATTTAATAAATAAATATTTTGCTTTTTGGAATCTCATAAATTGGTTCCATAATGTTCTTACTTCAAATCCAGTATCAGGATTCTTCCTTGTGTACAAATTCTATAGAATATGATGTGTGTATCAAATTTCAATCTTATCCATTCAGCATTTTAAGTTTTATCAAATTGCAAACCTCCAAATATGATGTTTGGAGGTTAGAAATCCTAATATTATAAATTGTATAACATTAGGATTCATGAAATTATTAAGATTGATATTATTTAGTTACTAAAAACGTATTCATGATAGAACATATCAGAACAAAAATTGTATGAATTGAAAATTATTAAACCACTAAAGAATTCAAATTTTTCATACTATAACTGGTTAGCTGAACGCACCGAGTTATATAGGCTCTTAACATAGCTGTTAGAATTATTTAGTTTTGCTTAAATTTTTTGTGTTGGTCCTTAATTTGTTTAATGAATATGATCAGTTTCATTGATAGAGCACTTTCTTAAAAAAGAGTTCCAACGATCACGTTTTCACACCTATATATAAAAAATATAGCTTTAGGGTGATTTAGGATCATAATATACAAAATATAGATCTAAATAATAGCATGAAAGTATGAATACTGAGCTAATCTAGTCTTTATAATATATTGTTCAAATCATGAATGACCTAAAAATTCAATTTTGGAGGTACAGAGGAGTAATACGGACTAGCAAACTCATCGCTAGCTCGACCACCACGTGGTTCCCCTTGAAAACCATTGTAATTATTGTTGAATTCTTCATTGTGATGGATTGACCGATTGACTTACTTCACTGATAGTTCGCCAACTTTTACCGATAGCGCAATCAACAGACTATTTCATTATTATCCTTTAGGAAAAATACAATCGCATTTATAATAAGTTGCTCGCGACAGTAATACCAGATGTAATCGGAAGTACTTATTTTATAGTGAGAGAAATACTTGATATGCAATAAATGCCCAAACATAATTTTCAGTGGTAAGGGAGAGGAGCCATTACGGAATAATTTGGTACATCATTCATATGATGGTAGACATTCTGGAAATGTTGGTATAGACAATTATAAGAGTGATACCACTTTTACGCCTGCCCTGATTCTTCATACCTTGATATAAATAAAAGATTAAATATAATTAAAACAATGTAATTAACAATTATAACAATGAATCTATCACTAATATAGGTATTAAAATAAATCATCCCCACATAGCTCTTTGTACTCCAGAAAGTTTGTTATAGTCTGCAAGATGTCGCCAAACTATACGGCTCATTCGCCACTCTTTGACGATACCACGCGGTCTGAAATAAAAAGATTGTTAAAATAAGTGTGTAAAGGGAAATCAATTGTTACATAGCTGTTAAGCCCCATTGCTAACGTCGCAGTCCCCTATAACGATGAGCTAACTGACCTGCTTTCATCCTCTTCTATCATCTCTCATTATACCCGCCAGCAAATACCGATACTGCACGCAGGGTTACCATTTAAAAAAAAAAAACTATAGGTATATTATTCTAAACTATTTACATTGTGTTTAATAAGTCTATTCATGCTATTGATATTTTTAAATAACCAAATATTCTGATTACATTCAAACTATAGGAACAGTTCATATGAAAATTTTGTTGTGGTATTGACTTACAGTTCATTTTAAAACACCATGTATTGCTGGCTATGTGCATTACTTGGCTTCATTCATATTATCTTTAATATTATTATATTGGATAAGGTAAAAACTGTTTATTTAAAAATAAAATATCTGTTGACAGAGTAACACATTTAAAAAATCAGGGAATTATGACAAGAACTTTTGAAAAGACAACCTGCTTGTAGATTTAAAGAAAATCTACAACCATGCAATAAAACATTATTATAAAAAATAGAACATAAAACCACAATTAGTAAATAAATATTATCATTAGTATTAAAATGAGTATTAATTACGTAAGGAGAGAATTTATAACAAACCTAGATGTCACAACACATCTGTTGTTTATTCTCAATGGAATAGCATTCATTTCAAACTTATTAATATCTTTATCAGCCAGCTCTCTGATTTCCACTGGCAAGATATCGTTTTTCCTTATTGCATTGATCCTGGACCTTTCAAGAAAATTTTCAGCACTCATTCGGCGACGTTTCACATCACGTATCATAAGCCAATTGGCCCATTTGTTTCTTACTTGTTGATACTGTAACAAATTATTATCAAATTGTATCTGTACACAATGTAGAGCAGATATAGCAGGCTTGACTAGACCAAAGATCTACTGTTTATTGACGAAACCTTGTGCCATCTATTAATTACATACTTCTTGAAATCTCAAATGAAACAATATAGTTCAGTAGACAATTATGTAGTATTGTAGTATTTTTTATTTTATTAAGAGGCAAAACAAAACTTAAAAATTATTCTTAGTAACTACTTATTTATATTAGTGTGAGCATTGCCTCTGAACATCTTCTACTAGATTAGCAACATATTATATTTTTTGCCTTACCATGATCAACTGGACTAATAGTCTTGATTGACTGTTAGCCACCCCTGATGTAGAGCATAACATTGTGATTTACAATTAATATCTGTTGAATTAATAATTAGTTACAATAAAGTAGTGTACAGGAACTATACATATTTTTATTCTAATTTTTGTTGAGACTTCTGTAAGCTAAAATACAGAACCAGACATTAATTTATATTAAGAGAACACCATACAATGCTTTTAATACATTAACACAAAAAAGGCTATAGCATCTATAGCCTTTTTTTTTGTAAAGAGTTCAGAAAATGTTTCAAAAACATACTCATTTATATAAGGTAAAATTGATATGCCAAATTGTTTGCCACAAAAACACTAACTGTTAAATTTACTTTGTTTACGGTATATAAATTATTATCATAATATGTTACTATACATTCATCATACAATCAAGAGGTATTTTTTTTAAATCCCTCAAGTTATTTATGCTAAATGTTATGCCATTCATTTTTTAGCACTTAAAAAATTTTCTTTATAAATCAGTAGAATTGTTGGGCCCTTGGAACTATTTTATAAGTGTAATGAGGAATCTATTAACTAGCCATATACTTTGTTAGGACAAATTAGCACAGCCCCTGGAAACCATCCTAATTCCTTAGAAATTTATCACTATGAGTAACTGACCCAACTTCAAACTAACCTATCATCCATCACTTGTACCCAGTATAAACAGAAAGTAAAGATTACCTTTGCATTAAATCAATACACCACTGACTGATGGGGGAAAGGGTTTTTTTTTTTATTTATTAATGGAATGATAACCCCAAATGCACTATTGCTATATGCTGGTGGGCACTAGTCATAGATGATAGCTGAGGATAAAAGTAGGTCAATTAGCCCATCATGATGTATTCCACAAGAATTAATCACTATGGTTTCCAAGGGGAACAGTGTGCAGATCGACCTTATAAGGTATATTGCTGGCAATGGGGCTATTAGACTCTATTACTAATAATTTGGGAGAAAGAGATTATTAGTAACAGGGTCTAACTCCAACCCTTCCACACGGTTCCATCTGGAAACTGTCATGGCTAATTTTAGTTGAATCCGTTACAATGAACTAACTAACCTGCTTTTCTCACCCATCATCTCTAGTTTAATGCTTCGCCAGCATATCTATGCGCAGATGGAGTTATCATTCCATTATCACCTATACACAAAGTCAATAAGACTTCTAATAAACTGCTTCACGTAAGATATATGCTTAGTGCCTCTTAAGTAAATTGATCAGTTGGTACCGTTAAGGACAATAATTTTATTCAAAATCTCTAATAACATTGGCTATGTGTACATACCCCAAATCCAGCGACGATTTGAGATTTCCACACAAACTTTCCTAAATTTGAAATGTTTAAATTCATTTTTATTTTTAGTACCTTTGCCTAGTTCAAACGACTGTGGATCTGTATATATTAATTATTATTTCTTTCAATGCAAAAGTGAAAATTACAATATACACAAAAATAACCTTAAAAAAAAGCAGGTAGCGATGGGCGATTCGAATAAAAAAACTCGAGTTACTTGAGTTGCTTTGCCCCCGGCTCAATTCGAACTGGCTTTTCTATCAAATCGAATAAACTCGTATAAAGTCAATACGCCGCTACCTACGTTAAATCCACACCCTGTTCGCGTTCGTGGAACATTCGTTACACACCTGAAAGTGCGCCGTCCGCGGCGTATCCTCGTTCCCCCGTTCGATTCACCGACCCACCGTCCCTTGACGGGGGCCAAAGTGTGGTGGTTCGAGCCATTTACGCGCCCTCGGGCGCACGCCGCAGTCCATTAAAAAGAGCTGACACCTCTATCGCTCCCCTCTCGCGGGCTTAGAGTGCCATCTGCACTTGCCCCTGCTTACACACGTTCGGTAAAGTTGTTAAGAAGACACCACGTCGGCATACACAGACCACCAGTGTATGCCGGCTCAAGAATCCAGTGACCCGGAGGTAGTCGCCTCCGGACATGAAGCCGGGGTTTGTTTTGATGGGTGAAAATGGTATGGTAACCCCGCCTGCACTAATGGGATACGCTGGCGGAGCACCAGTGAAGGGTGATAGATGAGAATGAAAACAGGCCAGTTAGCCCATCATGATGAATTCATCAGGAATTAACCATGATAGTTTCCAGGGGGAACCGCGAGGAGGTCGACCTGGTTGGGTATATTGTTAGCAATAGGATTCTCAGTCTCCAATACTAACAATCCCTTTCCCCCCGATGCAGCCAGGGTAGAGGGGTTTACCCCGAGGCCCCTACCTCGCCCGTCTACACAACAAGGCGGACAAGAAGACTATTGATGATGATGATGAAATTGTTAAGGCCATCTGCGGCGCACAACAATTACAGTCAGAAAGAAAAAAGCCACAACCGTGATATGAATGCGATCCTCGCTCGGATCACTATCGCACGCAACTCGGCTGGCTGGCTGGCTATGTTTGTCATAACATCAAGTAGATTCGGTTGCTGTGAATGCGGTGTGGCTGTGTGCGTGCGACGAAACAGAAACATCATACAACGAGCAAGACTCTCGTGTGCGTGATATTTCTGCAGCGTGTTTTACAGTTACACTCTGCGCGCTATAGCATGGTGCGGTGATAGCTGAGATTTTTATTACTTCTGCCTTTAAAAATAATTACAATAACAGTTCAATCAACAATGTTGTTGTGACTTCTGAATTCTGAATGTTTACTACGTTACGCTAGTTTATTTTATTCGAATTGATTGAAACCCGCGAGTTCACGCTTTCGACGATTTAAATCTAAAGCGAGTTAAGTAATCAACTTGCCGAGTTCATATTCAACTGCAATACTGAGGGCCTATCATGACATATTTTCCGAAATTTCGGGCACGAACGAAATAGAAATTTGATGTTAAAATTACATAATACATGCCGTTTTAAATTATTAAAAATATTAAAATATCGTTCCTCTGGATTATTAGGATAGGATTTATGATGAATGAAATGTTAAGCTCCATTTACTGGGTCAAAAAACACACGAAATTGAGCCCGAAAATTCGGAATTTCATTTAATGGTAGTCCCCCCTGATTCTATACGAAGTGAATGCGAGATGATTCGAGCCGCGATTCGAATCAACCACCATTTCAATTCAGTTTATTCGAGTTCAAAACTATGCGAGTTGGCTCATCGTTAAAAGTAGGTTTAAATTAAACAAGCAAACATATTAAGAGTATATAATACACCTGAAACCTAAAAACAAGGAACCTGAAACGTTATATACAAATGACAGATCCGTAGTGATTATATATCATAGAACAAGAAATTACATGGAAGGAACTAAAAACAAGGAATTACATAGAAGGAGTGATAAAGTTGTCAATTCATAGCAGGCTAATGTATAGAAAATGTTATACGGCTGTATAACGCTACCAAATTCAGATACAACCTCCTTACGTAGTTTCTACATAAACTGTGTCGAATATATAATCTAGTAATGTAAAATTTGATATGGACAAATAATTGACATATCAAACATTCAAACATATCATACACTAGCATGGTATGAATTGAGAAAAATAGTAAATGATGGTGTATCTTTCATCCTCTTTTTACTAATTATATTTGCATAAGAAGAAAGGAAGCAATATAAAATAAATATTTTTTATGTAATTCCTTATTCTTAGCCTGTCTTTAAACATAGTCTGTCTAATCTGTGGTCGTTTCTTCCTATCGAACAAAGTATTCCGGTAATTTTTAAAATTATAAGTCTATTTTGCCATTTTTTCTTTTTCTTAAACATATATAACATAATAGAGTACTTACAAGGTAACGAGTGCATACAACTATATAATAAATATATAGTACGGACTTAAATCACAAACACAGACATAGTGCCCTTTCAGTGGTTCAGTGTCGAAGTCTTATACACAAATTATATAGAGATGCTAATGCATGAAGCTTAGAAAATTTTTATTGTTAACTATTAATTTGTAGAGTGTAATGGCATCTAAGAGATCTAATAGTGTGACTGGAAGTCAGAGCAAAAAACACAAAACAGACGATGAGTATCTTCAGAATAGTTATCTACGCAAGACTCTGATAGAAAGCGGCTTAATATTGAAACACCCTCCAGAGAAATGTATAGCTTCTGAGAAAACTATTATCGTGATACGCAATATAAAGAAAAATATTCAGAAACATTTTGATTATCCTCGGAATATTACAGATTTATATATGAATTTAAAACAAGAGTGTCACAATTTAGATGTTTTCAAACAATATTTGTTCCCAAACATAATCAGAATTGTTAGTGATAGTTCTGATGAAATTATTCTTAGTGACAGTGTCTTTAAAATATTGCTAAATGTTCCTATTCTTCAAAATAAATTGATTGATTTTATATTTGAAAAAGCTATAGATTTAGCAAGCGAGTCTAACTGTAGTCCGTGGATTCAAATGATACTCAAATGTTTCTCTTCTTTGAATAATATATCGGACTCTGAAAAAATGGCTACAAACCTTATTAACTTATTAGATGTAACTACCGAAAAGATTGTTCGTTTGGAAATTATATCTGCAATTCCGGGCATTATTGGTGACCAGGAACACAGCAATGTTGCAACTGAAATGAGCAGAATATTGAGTGAAGATCAAGACTTGATACCGGCTATTTTAGATTGTCTCTCATATCTTTGTTTATCTAATGAAGATTATGAGAAGTTGCAAAAAAAGACATTAAATATTTTGTTGAGTTTGTCAAAATGTGTACATTTTCCCAATTTTGTTAAATTTTTACTTCAACCATCTCGAATTAGTGATACAGCATATTTAGAGGCAGTACAAGGTTTAAGAAATGCTTTAGGTTGGTCAACTTCAATAGCAAAATATCAAGACATTGCTACAAGCCAAGTACTCACAGCAGTTGCTATCAGAAATTCCATGGTATCATCAAAAGTGATTGCTAATGCATGGTTAAAAGTAATATCTGCTTGTAAAGTTAATACTGATCATAAAGCTATTGATTTCATTATATTCTTAATTTTATATTCCACATCAGAAGAAAAACAGAAACAGGTTGAAATTATTATAAAAAAGCAAATTAAATGTAATGCCCTGAAAGAAACCCTTTTAGATGAGTGCTTTGAGAAATACAAGCCAATATTGAGGGATTACTTAAAACATCTCATTTGTCTTACAAATTCATTACTGAAAGTAAAAGCAGATATAGTTATTGCAACCTTCGCTTCACATTTATACACACTGATGTTCTCCAAACTTGAGAACAGCTCTCGGACAGTTGTTGCTGAAATACTTCAATTAGGTTTAGACAGTAAACATTGTGTTCTGAATATACTACTTATATTAAACAGTGTTGCAGCTAAAGACATATCTTTACTAAAACCACAGAGTGTTCAGATGTTAACATTACTGGACAGAATGGATGACATGAATTTGAATGAAATTAGGGCTATAATGAATTTACTGTGTGGACTTGCTTACAGTTATGAAAACTCTGTTATAAGAGATGATATTCATATGGTAATAAGAAAAGAACTCAGTAGTTCTAGCCCTAAAATTAAATTGCAAGGCATCCTTGCTGGCATTCATGCAGTGAAATATCTTATGGCTAACAGTAATGATGATTACACACCACATTTATCAGATGATAATAGTTTTGGATCTGTTTCTCATTTGTCTGAAGGTGATCTCCGTGAAGCTGCTGTAATTATTGAATTAATTAGCCAAAGCACCCGTCAATTACCTGACATGATTGCTTTTTTTTATGATGAATTTACCAAAGTTATTGAAACAGCATCTCATATAAACAAACAATTTCTGTCGTGGCTTACATATGCAGTCACAAATGACTTGCAACAAAATTTTATTGTTGAAAGTATAGAAAAAGAAATGATTGGTGAGCTAAAATTATCACTACAATATTGTCTTAATACTGAAAGTGAAATGGATGAAACCATAGCAATAAACATTGCAGGATTAGCTTTACAATCTAAAAGTGAAATAGATGTGGGTATCTTGTCGTCTCTCTTTCAACTTGTACAAATATTGCACTGCAAGCAATATGAAGGAGATTTATCAAATATAGATGCATTGTTAGGATGTGCAGTTATAATGCCAGTAGTTGATTTAGATGTAATTGAAGATCTAGATAATTCTTCTATCAGTAATATTTTGGATTGTTTAATTCATTGTGTCAATTGGTTTAGAGAGTTATTGAATGCCTTTGCTATGCAAGATGATGATGCACTGAAAACGAAAATATTAAAAAGAGTTCTTCAAATTGAAGAATTAGAAATATTAATTGAGAAAATTATTTTAAAATCCACTGTAACATATAAACCTCCAGTTTGTAATTTTAATGTAAAAAAATATACAGGAGAACAAATTGAAAAAAGGCCATTCAGAACACAGATATCAAAATTAAAAGCTCAGAAAGTTAATGCGCAAGATGATGCACTGATACCAGAAACAGTCAAGACTCAAGGAACACAAAACAATCAGAACACAGTAAAAAGTAAACTTGATTCCGTTCATAATGTCCCTCTTCGTCATTTAGGACTAAATGTGCTCCATTTGTTAAAGAATGATTTATCATCGAATGCTGACAGTGGTGAATCTGATATGTCTATTAAAACACTAAAATTCGTCTTAAAATGTGTTAATAATAATATAGAAAATATACTGATTGCTAAAATAAAGAGTCAAGCATTTCTCCTAAAACAAGATCATTCTATGATGTATGATCCAAAAAAAGCGGAAGATTGTGCTAAATTAATTAGTGACATATTACCAAAAACAGTAGATCATCTTAAAAATATAACATTTTTTCTAGATGATTTTATTGCATCTCACAATAATCAAGATGAACATGTATTTAATCTAACATCTGAAGTAATGGATTATATTACTTGTTTAGAATATATATTTAATATGTATACAATATATTTTAAATGGATTGGATTTAAAAGTCATCATAATGCCTTATTAAAATGCTCCCTCCAAACTATAGCATTTACTGATAATACTAATCTAGTGTCATTAAAAGACTTAGTATCAGCAGCGGTTAAGCATCTTAAAAAATATGAAAAGTACTGTTTACAGTTGACTACTGCTGTAGCACTGATAGAATTGTTGAAATCTGTTCAGGAATATTCTGAGAACACAGTTACTTTGAAAATACTTAGAGGTATGGCTCATAATTTCTTGTCACAAAAATGGCTTACTCCAGATGGAATACCAGAAAAGGGTTTATTTTTTAATCAGAGTGTGGATAAATTTGCTGCTCTGTATTTCATTAACAATGAAATTGTAGAACTAAAAGCTTTAACTATTCAGTTGGCCAATGATATAAAAGTATTGAAAAGTCGAAATGATACACTGAGTTCACTGAAAACTATTAGCAAAGGAAATTTTGCTATTTTGTACAGAAATTTAGGAACAGCAATTCATGAATCTACTAAATCTCGTTTAAATAAAGGATTAACTAATACAGATCATTTAGAGTTATGGAAAGATGTGGCTATTATTTTGAAGCATATGTCAGATATAGCAAAAACTCTTGAAAATAGAAATAACTTATCAGCATTTTTCAAAAAATCTCTTCCAATTATTAAATTATTTTTATCTCAAGGCATTCCCATATTAGAAATTCAACTGAAAAATGAAACGGAAGAAGTATTAGAAATTTTGAAAATTCTTCAACAATCTACAAGATTTTTGCAATCGCTCTGTTGTCATTCTAGATTAAAGAAAGACATTGTTTTAATGAGTAAAGTACCATATATGAGGCAGTTACTGGAGACACTGATTTACAAGGTAAAAGCAGCACTAGTTGCTAACAAATGCTCTGAAGCATTTTGGATGGGCAATCTAAAAAACAAGAATATTCATGGAGAAGTTATAGCCAGCCAGGAGAGTATAGAAAGTGAACAATCAGCTGAAAATGATGATGAAGATTTACTTGAAGAAGATGAAAGTACAAATAGCGATGATGAAGTCCTTAATCCTGATTCTAAAAGTATCAGTGACATTGTTTAATGTAATTTGTAAACCTGTTGTTTAAACTACAGTACAAAAACCTAACACAATAAAAAAGTTTATATCACTAATATTGTTATTATTGCTAGATAGCTTCATAGAGGTATCAAAGTCTATCAAATTATACATATAATCGAAGAACAATGAAAAAACTATAGTAGAATCTCAATTATCCGAATATTTGTAAACAGAAATATGACAGTTCATCTAGCAGGCAAATGGAACAGAAAGGTAACATCCGACTATTCGTCATAGTCGTAGAATACTGACGGATCTGACGAAGATTACATATAAAGATCCGTCACTATTATACGATTATGACAAATTGCCTGTGTGTGATGTCGTCACGGTAGCCTTTTTATTCTTACCCATCATCCTTCAGGTACTACTCTATTACCTATTTTTTTTTTGATGGGTGAAAATGGTATGGTAACCCCGCCCGCGCTAACGGTATACGCCGGCGGAGCACCAGTGAAGGGCGACAGATGAGAATGAAAACAGGCCAGTTAGCCCATTATGATGAATTCATTTAGGAATTAACCATGACAGTTTCCAGGGGGAACCGCGAGGAGGTCGACCTGGTTGGGTATATTGCTAGCAATGGGATTCTCAATCTCCGTTACTAACAATCCCTTTCCCCCCTCTATTATCTATTACCCTACTCTGTTCAAATATACTACTAGTAAAGCGTAAGAGATTATTTATAATGAAATCGAACAGCCCCATTGTTAGGGGGGAAAGGGATTGTTAGTAATGGGGTCAAATAGGCCCATTACTAGTAATATACCCTGTTGGTTGGTTGACCTCCAACCTCTACGTGGTTCTCCCTGGAAACCATCGTGGTTAAATCTAGTTGAATTCGTCAGGATGGGCTGACCTGCTTTCATCATCATCAGTCATCTTTCACTGGTACTCCGCCAGTGTATACCAATAGCGCAGACGGGGTTACCATACCATTATCACCCATTGAAAAAAGCCCCATCGTTAGTAATATACCCTATCAGGTTGACCTTCTCGAAGATTTCCCTGGAAACCATCGTGGTTATTTCTTGTGGATTTCTTCACGATGGGTTAATTTTTTTTTTATAATATGAAGACAGTTAATCGACCCGTTTTCACCCTCACTATTTGTCACCGACTGATGCCCCACTAGTGTATACAGATACAGATAGCACAGGCGGGATTACCGTTCCATTCTCACCCAAAAAAACTAATATACTTAAAATTTCATTGTACATTAACAAATTACTTTTAAGTTTCCGCCTTTGTTACACATTAAGGCCAATTGTAGTGAGTGATGATAACATACAAATGGAGTATATGATTTGATTTCTGAAAACCATGCAGTAAGTTCATCTTGGACATAGTGTTTGTAGTTGGAATTTTGTACCTGATTTTGGAATGTCTTTTATTTTATTGTTATTTTTACTTTTATAATTTCTTTTAACAATATGGTTTACTTATCTGTTCTTTGTATGCCAGTGGCTGAGTATGGGGGCCAGAATATCGTAACATAGAGTATCCTAGTACGGATCCTGTTCACTTCCAATGGCAGTCTATTGGAAGTGAACAGGATATCCATAATAGGATATATATTTGATTTTGTAAAATGTATAAATGAAACGCCATTGTGATAGAAATAAATATTATTATTATTCTTGGTTACACAAATGTAAGAAGCTTTTTGGTTCAAGAGTGGGTGCTGCCTTCACCGCTAAGAAAACCCCATTTGCTGTGGTTCCACAGTTCTAAGGCACGTCTCTTAACATCTCTAATAACATTGGGAAACTTGGTATCGACATCTCTAGTGATGTACAATTCCGTGGCCACCTCGAAGATAAGGTGAAGCTGGCATCCAAAAAACTTGGTGTGCTCAATAGAGCGAAGCATTACTTCACGCTGGATCAGCGATTAATGCTCTACAAATCGCAAATCCGGCCCCACATGGAATATTGCTGTCACTTATGGGCCGGAGCACTTAAATACCAGCTTGAACCTTTCGACTCGTTGCAACGACGAGCTATGAGAATTATCGATAATACCAGGCTCACAAGCGGTATCGAGCCCTTAAGTCTTAGGAGATTTTGCCTAACTCTGCGTGTTCTACCGTCTGTACAATGGATTATGTTCAGAGGAATTGTTCAATATGATGCCCACAGCCATTTTCTACTATCATACGGCTCGCCATCGACAGGGAGTTCTCCTTATGTCCTACAGCTTCAATGGTCATGTACTGCGCGGTTTCAGAGATGTTTCCTCCCACGAACACTCAGGTTGTGGAATGAGCTCCCTGCCCAGGTTTTCCCAAGAGACTACAACATGGGGTTCTTCAAAAGGGGGGTAAAGAGGTTTCTTCAAGGTCGGTAACGCACGCATAATACCTCTGGTATTGCAGGTGTTCATAGGCTACAGTAACAACTTACCATCAGGTGGGCCGTATGCTTATTTGCCACCTCAGTGGTATAAAAAAAAAAGACTGATAGTAGCAGGTGGAATCTATTATTATCTATACTCATTATAAAGAGGAAAGATTTGATTGATTGTAAAGGATAAATTTGAAAATTGCTAAACCTATTTTAAAAATTCTTTCATCTATATTTAAAACCTACATTTTTAGCAAATAATATGTTATTCATAGAATTTTCTAAAACAATATGGAATAAAAAATATAAATAAAAAACATATAAGATGTCAATATTTATAAATAAAAAGATTAGTACAATCTTTGGGGTGGTCCCATGGTTGACTTCATGTGGAGTGAGCGCACATTCTGCCAGTGTTTCTTCAGTAGGGACACAAGGAAGTTGATTGAAAGATGTACATTCTGTGCAAGCTCATCAGGACTCATATCAACATGGCCCACCGCAACAGAGAGACATAACACCTGTAAATGTGTAAAATTATATGTTAATTTTAATAATTTTTAATTTAATTTCACATCAAAATTGATCCTGTAATTTAGAAAACCAATATGTACTCTAACAAAATTGAATCAATTTAAATATGTTGATATAATATTTTTCCTATTATGTATAATAATATTTCCTATTATAGTGAGTGCTATCAAAAATACAAGTGGCATTTAACCTTTCAGTAGAGGTTATTGTTTTTAAACATATTTCAATATGTTTATATGTAAGTAGTATGAGTTGACATACAGTAAAAATACAGTTTGTTTTAAACATGAAATTTTGCATACAAAATTTCTCAAAATAATTCATTACACTGGCTATAATGACACAAGCATGACAGCTCCAACAGCGAGAGGAATAAATGATAGTGGGATCCATGGTGACAAGTTTTGCTAATGGTTGATATTGGAGTGGTAAGCCTGCCTGCACTGTCAGGGTCCTAGTAAGAAATGATAGGATAGGTAAGGATGAAAATATCTTGTTTGGCCCATAATGGCAAATTCAATGAGGATTAATCACTATGGTTTACAAATGGGACCACATGACAGGCTAACTTAACAGGTTATATTGGTAGCAATAAAAGCTCCATTGGTGTTCACTATTAACAATTCCTTCCTCCCCTATAATAAAGATTTTCTATTTGGTACTTACTGGCTACTCTATAGAGCCATGAGACAGCCAGTATGTGTTATGGATTTTATCTATAGATAAAAAAAAAAAATAAACTACCTTCTTCATCTGGAACTTGATAGTGGCTTTAACTTCATCAATCTTCTGAGTCATAGACTCCTGGTGAGATAGTAAACCAGGGAACTTGCCGGCTTTGTTCAGACCAGGACCCAGAAGACGGGGGATTTGTTTGATCAGGGACTCGGATGCAAGGAAAGCATCATATCTGCAACAATAAAAATTAATTTGTAATTCTTAATTCAAGAGAGCATTTACTCATACTCCAGATTGGTAATGACCGATATCATTTCTCAATAATGATATTTGTCAATGATATTGATGTTAACACTTAAGTTTATATAAATTGATAATAAAAATATTTAATACTATTCAATTTTAGCAAAAATAAGAAAAAATTTAAGAAAGCAATTTAGCAATAGTTTAAGAATGTTAAATTTATAAATTATTCTAAACTTCTGCATTTTAATAAGTATTATACACAGCCTCTAGTGGTCTTTTAACATTATCTACTCATTTTTATATATAGTAGTAATGGTTATTATACATTGAAATTAATGTAATTTGTTTCTTTTTAAAGAGAATTCTGGTAGTGAAAATGAATATTTTCTTCAATATACTAACATGGTCTGACTATCAAGTTCATAAGGAACACTCAATATTTTTTGTTTTCTAATCCATTTATTTAGAAAATATGTTGTAAAAATGAATGTCTTATACATTAAACTTAAAGGAAAATAATAATAATAATTAATAGGAAGGTTTTATCGTAACTTAGCACATAGACTACTTTATATAGACTTACTCGGGTGAAGCCATAGGATACAGTTAGTTATAAATATTGTTAAGTGACTGAACTTACTTCTTTGCCAATTTCTTAACCAACTTCTTGTTCTTATTCAATTTCTTGAGAGCTTCAGCATCCATGCATGGCACTTCAAGCTGTTTCGCTTCATCACAATGCTGTTGGTCACCCAATACACACACCTGCATCTTAGGCCTTGGGATGTACTTTAGCCTACAAAATTAAAATTTGTTAATAACAATTTATACAATTATAAATAAATCTAATATGGATTAAAAATACATCAGTTTATTTATTTTTCATCAATATACAGTTAATACATGCAATTTAAACATCATATTGAGTTTTTTTTTACAAATTAAAATTAAATCACAATATTTTCATCATTGTAAATAAAGATAATACCGGCCTATTAATGATCTTACCCCACATGATGGTGAGTGCTAAAATTTGGTAAGCGTGAGCTCACCTACCCATTATTTAAAGACTTCGGGTCAAGTCCCGTCAGATTGCTCTGACTCCCTGTACAGAGCCATTTTTGTGGAAAGCGGTTCATTATCTTTAATATTTATTATTTTCTAAATTATATTAGTCTTCCCACAAAAATGTTCCTTCCAGGTAAACGTACTTGACGGTGCCGGAGAAACGCTTGTCCTTCTGAGGATCATAATTCTTCAAACCAATTTGTAGCTCAACAGTCTCAAGGAAGTTCCGTTTCTTATCCTTGGACGATTGGAGAACCGCATTCACGCATTCATAGAGCGTATCACGAGATACTTTAGACCTTTAGAAAAAAGATTGTGGTTAAGTCGCTAGGTAAACGGCATGAGAACATATTTAAAAAAATAATACATATCACTAAAGAATAAAAGTAATAAATAATTTTAATATTAAATTAAATTGACAAAATTTAATGATTGCTAGGATTATTTAAGATTACTTACGACATCTTGACAGTAAAAATCCACCACCACGTTAGACGTGCAAATTATGAAAGAAAAGGAAAGGAAAATGTCAAGCTACACTTTACGTAGATGACGCCTATTGTCAATGTCAATTTCTATTTGTCATTACTCCTTTTGTTCCTATTCTTAGTCTATGGCTGTGAAAATGCAAACCACAGATATGACTTTTAATTAATGATAATAGAATGATGATCCCGCCTGCACTATCGGTATAGTAATGTATTGTTTATTTTTTTTTTCAAAAACTTATCAGCCTGGATTAAAATTGTAGTATCGTAGTGAAAGACCTATTAATTGTTCACATCCACAAAAATAATTAAAGTTTTGGTAATAATAGTTTAGGAGAAAATAAATAAAGAATGCAACATTTCGGGTACAAACGAAAAATTTATAAAAATGCAAACTTCTCGAAAACTATAAATTTTTGCAGAACATACATGGGGGTGTTTAGAGAAGCTCTTGGACCCCTCTATTGATGGTTTTCGTTTGGACCACATGAAACCCGACACCTGTATATTGTCGGGACACCAGTCGGTGAACATGAAAAGGCAGATCAGTTGGCCCATCGTGACGAATTAAACAATAAATTATTCAGGATGGTTTCCAGGGAGAACCGTGTGGAGGTCGACCTGATAGGGTATATTGATAGCAATGGGAACTAACCTCCTCATTACTTATAATCCCTTCTCCTTACTACAGATATGGTCCATGATGTAAACATAGTACTATAGGATACCTAAATTATTATCATTTAATTATGATAATATTAAATTATATTAATAGGGGAAACCTATGTTCGTATGACGAGGACGATTTTCAATTATTGGTTTATAAAATATTCTATGTATTAACCATAGATAAATTTAGATATCTATGGATATAACCCTTTAGACATAGTCTCTCTAATTTGTGTATACATTTACCAATTTCACTGTAATCTGTTCAGCCGTTTAATCATGATTGATTTGTGCCATATAATCATTTTTAAAAACTTAATTTAGTAGTACACAATGTGTAGCATAATAGTATAATGTACTATTATAATTCCATTCGAATTCAAGATTAATAATACTTTTTTTTACTTCTATAACAATTGTTTGGCTCTGTAGATGGTTGAAATTAAATCTAGCGTCTTATCAAAAAAGGTAGAGAATATAGGTGGAGTAAATCATTTAAACTTTCATTGTCATTTAGTTCAGACACGTGCCTCTAAAGTTTATTGTTTTGTGCTTAAAACAAGAACTTATACTGTGTAATGTATTTTTCGAACACGTACCTAACGTGTTATAAGATAGATTGTTTATATTAGTAGGTTATTTGTATTCGAAATTTTGAATTGCGATATTGGATGTTTAAGGGGTAAAAAAGCTACTATACATGAATACAATTGATTTCGTATTATCTACCGAATAAACTACAAGTCTATCAACATTATATCTCCAGCCCAATTTGCCAACTTTTTAACTGGTCTGGTTATAAATCGTTCAATGAATCATATTAGAATTTGTTTAAATCGTTATTACTATTGCTACATAACGTTCTATTAACTGGTTATAAAGCAAATAAAAAAAAAAACATGTTTTATGTAAAATATATGAGTTTTTTATAAATTTCATAAATATAATTCCATAAATTTTACTAAAACAATGTAGCATACTTATTGTTTTTTCTAACTTTGTCAAGGATTAAAGTATTTGGGGATGCAGGTTGTGGATATCTTGGATGAGTATGGTGCCAAGTAGTTAATGTTATTTCTGGATCATGTTGCCACCATCCAAACTGTATGAAAACGAAAAATAAATAAAATTCTTAGTTACTTAGTAATATCAATGTGATTTTTTTTTATTATCTATTAGAGCATTTACTATATACGTATTATTTGAGATAGAAAAGGACAGGCTACTGTCTTAGATTATATAGATATAACGTCAAATATTAAAAAATATTAAATGCGAGTCAAGTTTTTGTTAGCTAATTGTTAGCTAATTGTTTACTATAATCTAAGGTTGTAAATAAATTAATGTAAGTAAATGTATAATCTAAAACTGTTTATCCTGGTCAGCCAACATACCCCGGTCATGTGGTCGAAGTCGCAAGTAAAAGTATAGTATATACCACTGAGGTGCCAAACAAGCATACGGCCCATCTGATGGTAAGTGGTTACCGTAGCCTATGAACACCTGCAATACCAGAGGCATTACGCGTGCGTTACCGACCATATATATATACGACCATATGATATTTAAAATTACAACTGTGATTCATTTTTTAATCAAAAATATATTTTTAATTTAAAACTGACTGAACTAGCCTATGCGCGTTTTGATTATTTTTTTTTTTTGGGTATTTTAATTATAAGTAAAAAAAAAACCGCGTATATTTTTTTTCGCTTCATTTTCGCACATTGCTTTGACAACATATCATAGTACGAGTATTGAGCCATCCAATCATCGATATTCTGAGAAACAATATAAATCTACCAAAACAAAAATCGCAGAATAATAACGTCAATAAACATAAAAAATGTTAACACGTCGAAATCGCGAGATGCGTAAATTTAAACTAGTAGATACTGCACGCGAAAATCGCGGTATGCCCGGTCAGAGGGTTAATCGGTTTGTTTAAATTGTGCGATACATTTAAAATTGAATGGACCGGGATGAATGGAACAATCAAACCAATAGTTAGTGCTGAAATTATATCATGCCATTTACATCCCCAATTAACTGATCCATTCGACATAGAAATGAAGCCAACACACTGACTATAACCTATAGATTTGTAAGCAAAGGTAATGTAAGTATATTTCTTAATCTCGGACATGTTAAAACGTTTTTTAAGATAATGATGTCAAATTAGCTGATCCATCATAATGAAATCTCCAAAAATTAACCACAATGACTTCCAAGTGGATCCACATGGAGTTCGATTTGATAGGGCACATATGTTAATAACAATGAGACTAATAAACCTTATTAATAATAACCCTCTTCCCCATAATTTAAACATGTACGTTTAACTAACATATAATTTGTTTTATTTTTTTATAATATGTTTATGAATAAGAGCAGATGAGATCAGGACCGGCGATAGAGCGATGTCTTAAGACGCCGAAGTCCGAAAAAGACACCGAGATGTACGAGAGTAATGTACTCAAGATTAGTGTTATTACCTCCATTGATGTTGTAGGTGGAAATCTATACATGTCGGAGGGTCCAGCTGGTTTGATGACACCTTTTCTTTTCATTGTAATAAACCTTTGAATTGATCCATATGCAAACCCATTGACCCTACCTAGATAACAATCTATCAAACTGATAGCATCGACGTCAGGTCTTTGTATCTGATAACAAACAGAAATATTTCAGGTAGTATCGTGCATGATTTAAGGAACCCTAGAACAGAAAATCCTTGTAATTATATCCTTCACGTCAATCCTGTGCGTTAGTGATAGTCCTAGACTAATATCAAAACAAATATCAGTCTGTCAAAAGTCAAGAGTGTTCCGAATACTATTGATATTATGAATTTGGATAACGTGTGGTATTGGATGTAAACTACTTTTATCACGTTTAATTAATAGATTTTAATAGAACGGAAGAAGTCGCGTATATTATCTTATAAATAAATAACAGCGATTAATGAATCTAACTTCCATTTTGCACACATACCTGTTTAGGCATAGTAGAATACATAATAATTTTTCGCATTAAGGGGTTTACATCATCTTTATTATTTGGTTCCTGGTATTCTTCTCTCATAATATCTTTTATGTAGTTTTGAGGTCCATACAAAGTTAATCCAAAGAATTCCATAGTTAACAAACTAGAAAACAGCGCTAGATTCCTGTTTCAATTTTATTTTTTATTATTTATTTGGCGTTTACTATTATTAATTTGCCAGTGTGAATTGTTATTAATACTAGTTTTCCACATTCCGCAACTTCTTCCGCGTGACCGTAATGGATTCACAGATCGACAAAAAAGTACCTTCTCCATATTTTATAGTACGCATATACTAAATTTCATAATGAATGGTTTAGTTGTTAAGGCGCTAAAATTAATAAACAAAGTTACTTTCATACTTATAACACTAAATAGAAGGATTAATACGGATATCAATTCGAAAATTTTATATTAAATTCCTAAATCCGTGAATTAAATGCAGTAATTTTTTCTTCCAAATCGTGTGATTTGTAAAGATTTTATAGCTTTTCTGTTAAGAATATGAGTTATATTACGATTTACACATAATCAGTGTTTTATCTATGACGATGTCATTGCAAAGCATTGTGTTTGATGTAACATTTTATTCTGCATAATATACGTTCTTTAATATTTAACATAACTTTCTGTTCTCGACTTTAATAATTTCATTATTTACTTGTATGTAAAATTTTGAGATTTTTTGCTAATTAATTTAATTGTACTAAACTAATTAATAACGCACAATGGCCCAAATGAGAGGCTAAGTGCGGAAAATGGAGTCCCTTTCACAACTAATTAATACCCCATGTGGTCCCGACATAGATAAAGCCACCCCCTTTCTTTCCCGTAGGTGTCGTAAGAGTCGTTTAAGGAAGGACAAGAGATGGGCAGCAGCCTCCCTTTTAAAATATCTCTAAAAGCCTAACTGTGATTGTCAGGGGGAAAGGGATTGTAATCAATGGAATTTGACAGCCCCATTGCTAGCAGGTCCAGTATTCCTATTAGGTCGGCCTCCACATGGTTCTCCCTGGAATCATCGTGAAAAATTCTTATTAAATTCGTCATGATGGGCTAACTGACCTGCTTCATCCTTACCATCACCCTTCACTGGTGGCCTGTCAGCGTATATCTATAGCGCAGGCGGGGTAACCATTTCAATTTCATCCATAAAAAAAAACGGCGGGTTGACAAACTGCGGTTGTCAACCCGCCTACCAAGCGTGACAACTACTGGCAAAATTCCTTTTAGGAGGAAGGCCTATATTCAGCAGTGGACAGATAATAGCTGAAATAATGATATTAAATAATAATAAGCTAATTAATACCGTAAACTGAATTACATTTTAAATTAAATTCCCGGTAATACCTTTGGAGACTATAGTATATAAGTCGTATAGTAAATAAGTCAAAGACTTTTCTATCTATCTTACTTTATATTTTGTTCCTCGAAAGAGAATTCTAATATAAAAAAAAAGTTATCATCGACACATAATAGTCCTTTGTAAAAATAAAAAATGGGATTATTATTTTTAGTATCAATCCTTGAACACAAGGTCCGGTTCTGAGGTGCCATTTCTCTAATTTTACTTGTAAAATTAAAATATTAATTTGATATTACAGCAAAATATTTATTGTTAGGACTAATATGAACAGATTTTCTAATACAGTTCAGTCAAAATTATTATAAATTTAGTTTATGATTCTTCATAATATAGTAATCTTGTCAAATCATTAAATTAAAATATTAGGTTAAGAAATAAGTTTAGAGTAATTGCTATTCAGAATTGACTCCATTATCTCTTTAATCTGTGGCATCAATCAATCTAATGTCATTCGTATGAGGTCAACTCTTGAGGTCAGCTGTTGCGGTGATTGTGTTTTTATTTTTCTTGCTACCTAGTTATCTCTTTTGTTTACCTAGGTGCCGATTATTTAAATCTAACTCAATAAATTCCTATATTCAGATTCTCATATATGACGAGTAATTAAAGTCAACATTATTCTTCAATCATATACCTAATCCGAGGTCGAATAGACTTCATTGAGTCATTGCTTGATTTAACTCTTGTCCATTCTTTCAAACTTTTTAACGTAATTTATCATTGTTTGTTTACACAAGTGTACACGATTTGTCCTTTTAAACTTTTATTATGGACATGGTAAGTTATTTTACTAATAATTACAATAAATAAGAAATAAATATCTAACTAAATTTGAAATGATGTCATTGTAAGAACAATAAGTCCCATTTGCATACTAATCTCCTATTTATTATTAACAGTTCAAGCAATTGAAATGGAATATGGAACGTGGCAAAATTGCTATACTATCTAACTACATAATGTAACAGTAATAAGTAGCGAGTATTAACAAAGTACACAAAATCATGTATTTACCATTGCTAAGAATATCAATATACATATTGTTGATACTGTGCAGGTCCCATGATTTATTAACCATTATCCATAACTCAATATATATATTATAAATTTGCAGTTGGGAGTTGCAGAAGAGAAAAGAAAAGTACCAAACATGCTAAGAAAGGTTCTACAGTATGATGTGCAAATTACAAAAAAATTTGTTGAATTAGCTCTGAGGACTACAGCACTGAAATCACTTCGTACTCATGCAAAATTATTTGAGGTTAACAATATTTATGGAATTTTAAAACAAGTACACTCATGGGTGAAATGTTATCAGTTTTAAACTTTTTTGTCTTATTTTGCCACTGTACTAATAGTTTTTTGTTTTATTGATTTTTATGTTTTTCTAACAGGTGTCTTGTCATGGCATAGTGTGGCTAGCTGGCTGGCTCAGTTTCATATGGCTGTTTAATAATAAAGATTTGTACCAATTGCAAGTTAACATGTTAATTGGTAAGTTTGTTATTATTTTTACTGAGAACTAATGTATATTTTTACTATAAATACAAAGAAAAACAAAGAAACAAAAAAAAAGCTATTATTACTTTAATATTTTATATTCAGTCAATCAAACTTAAGTGATTGAATGGAGTTAAGTAGTAGTATATAGTATAAAGATGGACCATGTCCGGCATTATGGATTATAGATAATATCTAATATTATCACAAGATAATATTTACAGTTATAGTTTTATAAAAAATATTTTATAACTTGATCTGTAGTGTATTAAGTAATAAAATTAAATAATAATTACTTGTATACAGAATAGAGATCTCTATATTTATAAAATTTTCTGTAAACCTTAAATTATTCAATTACTCTAATGTATAAAAAATACTTGAACTACATATGTCCTGTTTACTTTTGCAGCTCTCATCCTGGACATTATAATAATAGCTGTAATCAAAGCATTTGTAAGAAGACGAAGGCCCGTGCCCATGAATAAGTTGATGGAGCTTGGTCCTGACAAATTTTCATTCCCGTCAGGTCATACTAGCAGAGCTGTACTGGTTGCTTTTATACTGATCTGTCTGAACCCCATTTCTATTATATTTTATCCTCCATTACTTGCATGGGTTACTGCTGTATCCATATCTAGAGTTCTACAGGAGCGTCATTATTTGCTAGATGTGTTCTGTGGAGTTGGTATTGGACTTTTAGAAGGCCTTCTCATGTCTTTAATATGGTTTTCTCAAAGCGCATCAGCGAGTATATTATCATCATTGTCAGATGAAAAATTAGATGGTGGAGAGTACCATGTTTAAAGTGTGCAAATATGTGTAATGATAGTGTTAATAAATTTATTGATACTGTGTCAGAGTTGCCATCCATAAAATTAACAAACCAATTATAATAAAAATAATATGGAACAGATTTTGACTATATATGAAATTTCATTTGGACATTCTCTAGAAAATACTTTGTGTAATCTCAGACGGATGGCAACCCTATGGTATTATTCCTGTGATCATAATATTGAGTGAAAAAAGTAACAAAATATAAATTAATAAATGATATTGAGTGTTAATAATATATAAGCTGTTAGAGTAACTAGTCATTTTAAAGTAATGTTATGTTCAAATCAGTTTTTATGGTTGCTACTTCCTACCAATGTATACAATGTCTTGATTTTTATAATACAGTCTATATAACCTGCAGTAACGAGGTGTCTACAAGTTTTTGTTTTTTTTTTTTAATAAGGTGTAAAGTTTGAATCCATTAATTTCTGTTATTATAGTGACAGTTTTTTTTTACAACACAGGGGGCAATCGAGCATGCGGCTCATCTGATGGTAAATGACTACCGCCGCCCGTGATCACTTACAACACCAAAGGCATTGCAGGTGTGCTGCCGGCCTTTTAAAAAGGAATATGCTCTTTATGTTGAAAGTGAAAAAAATGAATGCTTTAATGTTTTTAGATATTAATAAATAAATAAATATCATACAATTAAACATTTATTGACAATAGGTCAATATAATATCAACATTTAATTTTTGAGGTGAATAGTCCAAGAAATAATATTTTTCATAATGGCAATCCAAACCACAGATAATAGGTATTTATCAACCACATAATCCGAATTTGATCATTGGTACATTGGAAATCATTTCGAAAACAAAGCAGCTGTGATATTTAATTATGTGTTTATTTATTACAAATTTGTAAGTTTAAATACCTTTATGTGACATTAAAATCCACAATAAATAGAAATAATTTTTATTTTAATAAGTTTACAAGTTAGTCTTGGAAGTTACTGTTTTAAATAATTTCCATTCTAGGTAATTTACAAATAATGATTTTTACAAAAATAACGTTCACTCTTATATATAACTTACCTACCCACTTATTTAAAATTTTTAATACCTATTTTAAATAAATTATTTTCCAACAGCTTGTACACTTTCATCCAATAACTAATGCATTTTCTTTGATTAATAAATAAATATTTACCGAAGTAATAACAACGATACAGGTTTGAGTGAGTAATATATTTATAAGGTACGAGTAATGTTTTTTTACAAGCGTAGTATTTAATTATATAAAAAAAATTTACAATTAGTATTGTATTAAAGATATCTGGTTAAATAATATATACAGGAAGAAAAGTTGGACCACGATTAGTATGTAATGTATATATAAGAAGGATGGAGATATCTATATCGGAGACATTCAGTATCGAATAAGAAATTAAAGCAACTAATTATAAAGTAGGCACTACTTATAATATGGAAAGAATTTTAGAACTAGATACGCTATTGTCGTAAATTAGTACGGAAATAAACTTTGTCAAATGCAAAGAATCTATTTATTATAAAGGAATCATCAAAATTAGTGATAAAAAGTCAAATTTAAGAAGGTCCTTAAATTGATTGCAACCACAGACTTAGTTTATACATATAAATTAAGATTGAATAAAGCGTTACAGATCATATATGGAGCTAAAATAGAAAAATGTCAAACCCACAGGATAAATTTAATTTGTGTTTATGATTTTGATTCTGTGGATTCTTACAAGAATAAGGAATTACATAGAAGGAATGATAAAATAAAAAATTCTGTAAATCATATAGTGCTCTCTTTTCTTCTTATGCATATATAATTAGTAAAAAGAGGACGAAAGAGACACTATTAGTTGCTATTTTCTCAATTTATAGCAGGTTAATGTATAGAAAATGTTTGATAATGATAAATTTTACATTACTAGATTATATATTCGACATAGTTTATGTAGAAAGTATGCAAGCAGGTTGTATCTGAATTTTATAGGGTTATATGGCCGTATATCATTCCTTTTATATAATTCCTTGTTCTTGTTATAGTGTAGTACTGACGCTACTCTACACTTTAGACGATCTCTCTAATCTGCGTCCTACTCTATCAATTGTCATCGTCATTCCATTACTGCAACTAACGGATTATAAACAACATTATATTGGATCTACAATTTTTCTTCTAGAATCTACGTAAAAACTTTACTATTTAAAATATAAGTCGCTAATAAAATTGGTTTTATCGACAAACAATTATAAGGTGATATTTTCGATACCTATATCGTCCTACTTTCGTCGCTTTAATAAGATTTGTATACGAAGTAATTTATTACGTGGCACAAATAATTTCTACAATTTTTTATGATTTTAATTTTACAGCTTATCATGAGGAAACTTAAGGGAGCAGTGAAAGAAACTGCTAAGCAAAAGCGAGAAAGGAAGCAAGAGTTTGCTAAAATGAGGCAACAGATCCATACAATTGTCTTGCCAACAGTTGCAGTTATATTCCTCTTAATTTGCACTTACGTATATTTCAAAACGAGACCCACTTCAATGCAATACGCGTAACAATGTCTAAGGGGACCAGTGAAATTCTATGAATGTCTGCAATTGTACATATTTCTTAGTGAATCAATGTTCCAGAATGATACAAATACTTTTGGAAATATATGGCTAAATATTAATGGTTGTGAATTGGAATAATGAGTATTGTGAAAACATATTTATTAATATATTGAGTATTTAAAAGTTATTTGGTGAACCTGGTTAAGTGTATTTACATTTCAAGTGACATCCCATAAGTTTAAACATTTCAAGTGACATTCCATAACTTTTAAACATATCAGGTGAAATGTAAATAATAGATCATAAAATATATTTATTCAAAAATATGAAAGTATTTTTATAAAACTGTTCTTAGTCTATTCACAGGTGACAGTTACTTATTAGCTATTAGGAAGAGTGCCTGTTTAAAAAAAATCCTTGAATACCATTATATTGTGACAAATATGTCATGATGGTTAATTAACCTGACTTCCTTCTTACCTGTCACTCTGCCAACATTTTTTACTTCATTTATACATACAGTATACAGCTTTTTGGGGGCAGGGCCTTGTAAATATATCAACATTATTTGCAATCTAATTGAAATCCAATTAGACTCTATATAATAATAGGGAATACAGGAATTTTATACCTTATAAGTGGCAATACATGAAAAATAGCATGGGCATGTTATGAATAGAATAGTATATATGGTGTCATGTTCATAGGCAGCTATTATAATTACACATTAGGCATAAATAAATACAGTATTTATACATTTAAGATTTATTCACTTACATATTTCAACAATGTAACATGAAAGTAAACTGTTCATCCATACCACAGCCAAAATTGGTACAAATATTTTTTATTAATATCCATAACAATAAATATGACAAATTTTTGTCTATATCCACGCACAGATCTTATTTAGGTTTGCATTTATTTAAATTATTACAAAGGTAATATTTGATCAGGTAAATCAAAATACTGTTAAAGAAATAAAACACTCCAGACCAGATGTGTTGATGTAAGTGACGCCATGACGATTTACGAAACAAGAGGCACAAAATGTATTAGACAATTGTTTCCTTTAAAAATGGTACATGGTGGTAAGTAAATTTGATATAATTTCATATCGAAATGACATTATATGAATAAAAAGATTACTCTTACTTATGTATTGATGTTTAGTACATTTTGTCTGTCTTATTTTTAAATAATCAATTTTGCCCATAAAAAATTTAACACTAGGAATTTGGCGGGAAATTCATTTATACTTTTGATCATTTACAATGCTAACTACATGCTGATAATATTGCTTTGCAATAATTCATGTACACCTAATAAGACCATATTTTCAAATAGAGGAACAGACAGACAAGCAACATGATCAAAATAAATATAAATAAATAATAATATAATCAGTGAAAAAGTCGAAAAGAAACAATATTAAGAGCTCATACGAACTTCATTGACGCGTCGTAGTACAAGTTTAAAATTTTTATTAATTTTCGATCTGTTTCGATGATAATAGCATTACTGGTAAAAGATCATTAAGAATAAATATAACTTTTGCTTAACGAAGTATGGCAATTTCGCTATTATCTGTCAATTTTCATAAAACAATTTAAAAAAAAATTATTCTGACGGGTATTTAAAAAGGGCTCAGATAGCGAATTAAAACATTAATAATAACATACATTAATCTGAATATGAATCTGCGATTAAAAACTTTGCACCTACTTCGTATTTTGTTTTGGAATATTTCAAATACATTTTAAATGTGTATTTGTAAAATTCCGAATTCCAATAACAATTATAAGAATATTAATACACGATTAACGTTTGAAATCGCTATCAGAGCTCTTTTTAAATAATAATCAATCAGAAAAATTTAAAAGATTTACATTGTTCATGACTGTATGTGTAAAATAACAGATAATTAATTTCCATTTTCTATCAAGTATTTGTTTTAGGCAATAGCAAACAACCATTCTAAATTGCTGTTGCAAACACCAAATTTAATATTATACTATATATGGCAACTCTAAAATTGCTTTCGCTCTCTTCCGTTACAACAATCGTCCAATGTGCAAGTCTTTGTATAAAAATATAATTAAAATAAATATATTGTGAAATTAAAAGGTGGTTTTGCAATATAAAGTACAAATTCCAACAATTGCATAAAAAATACGACGTTATCGTATTTCGTTATGAATGCTCTTAATGATTTCTGTTTCATGATGTGTAATTTTATTTTAGACGGCTGTTTAGTTTATTCTCCTATTTGAGAATAAGGTTTCATTAGTTTAATATTTTTAACATTAATTCAATGAGTTTTATCACTAAATCAAACTAAAAAAAAAAAAAAAACTACCTCTAGAGGAACAATTCGTTAAACTTACGTATTGCACGATTAGTGTCTTTTCAGTCTGTAAGTTAGTCGCGTTAATCGCCTGTTTCTCCATTAAAGAGTCAATTAATATCTCGAGCCATAACTGAGAATATCCAGATTCGAGCCAATTTAGATTTTTTTTTATACACGTCGCACCCTTAATAAAATATTGAATTGAAACAAGCAAAACAAGTTTTAGTTAAATGTCGACCTAAAAAAAAAGAGATTTTACAATCTAGTTATCTACAATTTAGTCTAGAGATCTTTCCTTAGTACGTTATATCACATAAAGAAAAGCGTCTCTTCTTTTTTTAAATAGGTTATGAATTTTTTTTAGGTTATTATTTTATTAATACTCATTTTGCGAATTTTATATTAAGTGGTGGTACTAAAGGTGTATTGTATAAATAATTTAAATTGCCTCGACAAAGAATTAAAAACAAGACATCTTTTTAAAAGTATATACTTACAATCCGTCACTAAGTAACAGAGGTTATATTTATATCGACATTACATGTCATTTTGTAACATAAATAAGCGAATTTCTAAAAAAGTATAAATTAAATAAGATAAATAAAAAGTGTATACTGTATAATTTAAAATCTACATCAATAAATGCACTAAATATTGGTGACTTCAAGTGACACCAGTCAAAACTAGTAAAAAGAAATAGCAATACCTCAAATAAGGAGGACTTTGTCAAAGTAAAAATGCCTTATATGTTATGTTTTTAGGATTAGTTTGTCTGTCAATTTGTTTAAATTACATATTTTAATTATTTACATATAGAATTTATAAGACCAATTTTTATGGGTCAATAACCAGTACGCCTAAAATAAAAATTCAATAATAAGAAGTTTCACTTTTCAGTCTATAAATTTTAACATTAACTTTTTTACATAATTCGTACAGAGATTTTTAGATAGACCTTCTAAAATGCAATATAATTACATTTTGAACATGTTTGTTTAATTTTAAAAAGTCGCCTGAGATCACCAATAGACCTAAAACATACTGTATACATAACACTATGCTATAACTATAAGTAGTAAAAACAATGCGATTTCTTCTTAAATGATTAAGACCCATTTAGATATAAATACAATTAGCTTACGATATCAATCAAAAAGTTTATTTGTCTAACATTACGGTGAATATAAAAGAAAGACTATCACTTGTATAGAATGTAATCATGTATTGGAAAACAAATAATAATACTACATCCAGTTTAGAGACCAAAATAATTGTCATTTTTTCCCAAAGAGTAGAAATAAGACAAAAATTTAAAGCTTTCCGTACATACTTGATAGTCACGGCGTATAGATATAGGGGAGTCAAAATGTTTTTGTTATTATAGGAAAAATTATGAGTCTCATTGGATAACAGTCGCTTAATAGCTTATATTTATGGCGGCGACTCTCATCACGTTTTAGGACGGTAGAAACTCGTTCTATTGTAGCTGTTGTCTTCTCGTATCCATAAAACAACAAATTATCCCAAAAGGACACGTGACTAAATTGATCACGTGACTGCGCAGCAGTTTATATGAAGGCTGAAAAAATCTTTTTTTTTTATCGCCGTATCCATATATTAAATATAATACTTAATTCGCTATCATATTTAGACACATGTTTCTTGGGGAAAGTAGTTTGGTTTTATGAACACAAAAATCCCTTACTATTACTGTTTTAACCTTATTATTTTAAATATTGTAAGTCGCTATCGCCTTATCCAGCTTATATCTAAATGGGTATTAATTTAAACACGTATAATGCAGTCACATGACCAACCAGTAAAATTATTGGTTGGAATTTTTAAGGATTATCGTCACTCACAAGAAAAGCAGTAGTGATGATACTAATACTGATTGCTGATATGTATACTTTTCCTCTGACGACACAGGTTTATACTCCATCCGATTATCCAAATAGCAGCTAGAAATAGGAACAGTCCGCTAATGACGTAGTACTGCGTCGATATGTCCAGCACGAGGGTTTGGATGAGCACCAACGTGAGGATCGACTGGAGTCCGGTGCCGAGAAGGGTGTTGATGCCAAATATCAAGCCGAAGCAGCTCTCGTCACTTAACTGGCCAGCTATTTTGGCGCTGGAAGAAATATATGTTGCAGTTATAGGTTGTAATTTAAAGACATAGAAAGAGATGCACAATTTTTTTTATGCAATGGTGACTCCCTGAGAATCATCGTGGATAAATCCAAGTGAATTCATTACGAACTGACTTCATTTTCGCCTATCATCGTTCCAAAAAATTCGTGAAGATTGGTTGAGTTGTTAATACAACTTAGAATAGCAAACAAGCTGACGGCCCACCTGATGGAAAGTGCTAACCGTCGCCTATAGACATGAGCAGTACCATGGACATAACAGTACACACACATACTGTTTCGCCCATGATACACCCCATGCGTTGCCATTCCTGAGGACTCGGGTGTTATTCCTCTGTACCCAGTAAATTCACGCCATATCCCACCCTTCAAACTGAAACATAGCCATGCAAACACAACTGCTTCATGGTTGAAACACGAATGTATATTTGTTGTTTCTTTTTACCAGACTTTATACAAAGTCGTTTGCTTGGGTACCTTCGTGTTTCTACCGTGAACCAGTTGTTTTCGGTCTCAAGTGTATAGCAATGAAATTAAAATTGAAATTACAGGGTACAAAGATATAACACCTTAATATTCAGGAATGATAACGTATGGGAGGTATCATAGGTGATACAGTACGCTCTGTTAAGTCCATTTTTTTTCATCAGGTTAGCTCATTTGTCATTTTAAATTGCATAAAAAAAATTAGCATAGTTTATATACTGATTCGAGGACAGAGCCGCGGGACACAACTATATAGTATAAAATATTTTTATAAGGATTATTACTACTTATATCCCACCTGGCCACTGTGATGGTGTAATGGAAAAGCATGCCCATGACGATGTACCCCGCGTAGGAGACGAACACGTTGGGCACGGCGGTGCCGGCGAACATGGCCAGCGCCTGCACGGTGGCGGCGGGCGCGGGCAGCACCGCGCGGCACCACATGGCCGCCACCATCGCGCCCCCGGCGCCCAGCAGCGTCTGCGCTGCCTCCACTGCCCCATTGTACGCCACCTATACATTTTTTTTTTACATAAGTCGTTTAATGGTCGATTACGCAATATTATATACTTCAATTATATAGATAGTGTTTCCATAGAAATGCTTCGAGAAATACGGGTCAACTTTTTCATACAATTTTGCGTGATTAATAGTTTAGAGTGATTCTTTATAACTTCTATATTTATTTTCTCTTATAATTTCTCCATCTTTTTAATGCGTAAACATTTATTAAAGAACACGTTAAGATACATTATGTGCGTAAGTATGTATATAGAACACTGATAAAAAAAAAAAAAAACTATTCAGCTAATTTGACAAAAAGGTGACCCGTTTATGAGGCTTAAAGCTCTATCTATATAATCTATGGCTTCAATAAGTCTATATCTATTTCGTTCAATTAATTATAATTTATTCCTAATGGGCAAGATCTTAGTTTCTTATAGTCTATGATCTAGTAAAAAATGTAACTAAGAATGTCACTGGTCATGGCTGGAAAGAAGCCATATAGTATAATTGAAATAAAAAAGAAAAAGTATTATTTAATTTTTTTTCATAACATTCTTGTATCTCTTCATGTAATGTGTTATAACTATAATTTTGATATGTAAATAAATATAAAAAAAAACACTAGTGGAAATATAAAAATGGTATCATTTTGGAGTACGTCGTCTAGTCATTGATTTGATCTCTTTTTCATTTGGCGCTCGATCAAACAAGCGTGTCTCTGCAATTATATTTCGGTTATTTAGTAAATTAATAAGATATAGTAAATACATTTGATATTGCTCAATCAGAATACTCGTCAGTGAGCTTACGAGAAATAAATCAAAGGTGAATTCAATATTTTTCAGTTTTATTTACCAAGTCATCGGGTGGTATTTCTGCTCTATCCCGCGTGCAGTAAAATTAATCGACCTTTGAACTATAAATAAATATGTCAATAATTATACTCGCAGTTTAGAATTATAATATAATTGTTATTACAAATTATAATATAAATGTAATTAATTACAAGATAACGCTACGAATAATCTAAATTAGGTTTACTGAATTTTGATATAATTGAAGACGATTAGGTCAAGATAAACTTCCCCGTATAATTAAACGTCATTTTATAATTAATTATTATTACGTATATAAATTATAGACATTTTTATTATATTTTTTTTTAATACAATTATAATTGCAAGAAAACAAAGTATACAGTTTTTAAAGTTTATGATTATAGTCGTGCACGTAGCTTCAAATTTCAACAAACTAAACATTGACTGTCCACTTGATAGGACATTATAACAATATTTTTTATACGGTAATTTTTTTTTTATAAAAAATCTTTATAATCTTAATTATTGAGAAATAACTTAACTCGTCGCCGTTTTATACTTAACAAAATTAATAAATACATATTATGAAATTTTTTATTAATAGAATCCGTAATTAGTATCTTGTTTTTCTAATAAGGTGGATTAGTTCATTATTAATTTTTTTTCTATATCCACACATAATTAGAATTGTGAATATTAAATTATTTGCAATCGGTAAAGGGGTCAAAATAATAAGAAAATTAATATATAATATTCCTTTGTTTCCGGTGCGCAAATACAATCTTATTGGGTGAGAGGTCTTGATAGATAAGCGGTCTCGCTGGAAACTACAGTGTTAATTTCTGGTAAATTTATTACGATGAGTTTATTGAACTGAATCATTGGTACCCTGGTAGCATAATATAGCGTAGGTGAATTCACCATTCTATTTTCAATTATTAAAAAAAAAAAATAGGAATATTACTTTACCTAGAAGCGTGTTTATTAATCGTACTCGTAGCAGTGAACAAAAATTATACTGATAAAAAAAAATTGTAACTAGACGATGTCTATATACAGGAAATATTAAAAAAAAAAAATTACATTAGTGGTCTTAATGATAGCAATATAAGCCAAAATAATACTTTTTTTTTATAATTTTTGTCTTTCCGTCTATATATCGGTATCTGCAAAAAAATACTGCACCAAATTGAATGCATTTTTAACAGTTAGGAACATAACTGTTCCCAAATGTATAACTTAAAATCTGGGGTAAATTTTATTTTAATAAGTCATCTAGACGTGATAACCTACTTGTATTTCCAAAATCCACTGGTACAAAGTTGTAGGCAAAAGCTAGTGATTAAAAAAACGAGACTCACCGGTGCGTTGCTTTCGTCTTGTATCTGTTTCCAAAGCAGCTGCATATACGTTTGCGCCTGTACGAACAGCGCCAGCGCAGCCGCGTAGAGCGCTGACCACGCGAGCACCTTGGGCCGCGTGTACGCAGCGCGGGCGTGACGCCCGATCAGCATCGACGCCTCCACAACATTTGCACGGAACGATTGCTGTTTGGAAAAAAAAAAAAACTTTTTTATTATTAAATTATTTGCTATGTTGTGAATCAGACATGAGGTATCTTATGTCTAAAGTTAGATATATAAGATATATAAAATTTACATTAATTCAATTGATTATATTTATTAATAATATATATTATTGATGTATCTATAGTTACTTATATGTACGTATAGTTATTTATATATGTATTGTATGTGATTTATGTGTGTATATTTTTTGTAAGTATATTATTGTATATGTTTGTATGTTTATTTAACATAAATTGTTATCTTTCAAAATATTTATTTAATTTACATTTTTTTTTTTAATCTATGCACCGTCATTTATTCTCTTTCTCTGTTTAGCGTAACGGTTGATAGGTAGAGAATGCCATCAGGCATTAAGTCCGTCTTGTAGACATTTTTTAATGTGTGCAAAAGTATAAATAAAAATGTTTACATTTAAAAAGAAAGAAAAACTATTACGCACAAAAATAAAATTGGTTAAAAAATAACTAATAATGATTATAATTTGCCATCTCTACTCCTTAAAATGTTAAGAGGAGATGTGATATTTTAAAAATAATAATAAAACTACAAAATTAACTAAATACGTAGAAAAAAAAATCAACGAAAACATATTACAGCAGTTTCAGCAAGAATGAGTGTGTTCAATTAAATTTAAAAGTTCAATTTTATATTCAATCAGAAACAATTTAATGTTAATTATTGAAAATTGCGACGTTACCAACTCTTCGTCAAATTAAAATTACAAACGCTCTTAAGGACGACATAAGTGACTTTTGATGAAAGATATACAAATATCATACACATATATCAAAATTTTATTATACTTTAAAAGATATAAAATGATAAATATTATTATAAATAACAATTTTAAATTATAAATATAAATAAGTACTATTTACATCAATCCTATTTCTTGATTGTCATCGTTTTCAAATTTCGAAATTACAATTTTTTATACAACTTAGAATGGCAAACAAGCTGACGGCCCACCTGATGGAAAGTGGTAACCGTCGCCTATAGACATGACCATTATTATTATTAGGTTAATTATCTATTATATATTAATATATTGTCTGAAGAGAGAAGAGAAGCACCACTACCCACTGATAAATTTTAAGATCACGCCTCCCCAATAGAAGAGAGCTTATAGCCAATGATCCCGGTGTGGAAGCTGGGTAAAGAGGATTTCTCCGAGAGCCTTATCAACTCTCTTCCAGAAGGTATGAAGACCTGCTGGAGACGTGACGGAAAGTGGTAACCGTCGACACCTATAGACATTTATTTTTAAAGAGTAACTGTTGACTATCTTGCGGGTTTATCTTAGCAGATAATATTCCGAACCCAACGCTTTTTAGCAAACATCAAAACACGGCAATTCAGAAGTACTTGTGATTAAGTTCATTTAAGTAAATATTTTTTCTGTTCTATTTTTATTCATCTAGCCAGATTAGAATAAGGTCGATATGACAATAACAAGACGAAGTATGGTAACACATTCTTACTTCAATACTAAGGATATGGGAAAAATAGGGCTAGCAATATATTTCCTTGAGACCTCCACGAGGTGCTTCACCCATCTTTGTCGATTCTTGGTGACTTTGTCACGATAACTGATCTGACTTCATCCTTATTTATCATCATTTACTGGTGCTTCGCGAGCATATACCGATAGTATAGATGGGGTTAGTATTATATTATCTCTTGAGTAAAGATTGTTAGGAATGAGGATCTAACAGCTCCATTGCTAGCAATATAGGATATATTGCTAGATCAGGTCAATTTTTGATATATTCATCACGATGGGCCAACTGACCTGTTCATTCTCTTCTATTATCCGTCACTGGTGCTCTGCCAGCGTATACCGATAGCGCAGGCGGGGTTACAATTCCATTACCATTCATAAAAAAAAATATATATATCCTGGTGTAAAGAAATGACGTAGCTTAGAACCTTAGGTGCAGGCGGCGACTGTTTATCATCCAACGCCTTCGAGTTTTGTTGCAGTGGATTGGCGATGGACACTTTCCGATGGAAGTATATCCCGTACTGGACCGGTGGCAGCCAGAACGCCCAAAATGTCGCCAGGATCTGAGCTGAAACGAACGTCGTCGTGACGGCGATTTTTATTGTATGCTTTGTTCTAAATTTTACCTAAACACTTGAAATGAGTAAGTACAAATAAAATTACGATTACTGATACTGATTTCATCATCATCATCATCATTTCAGCCATTATTCGTCCACTGCTGGACATAAGGCTCTCCCATAGACTGCCATAAAGAACGGTCCAGAGCCACCTGCATCCTGATGTAATGACAATAAATTTACTACTGTCAATAATCAATACCATAGTTTTTGTAATAAAAATATAAATAATAAATAAAAGATAATATAAATTTTCATGACTGGTAGAGAATGCTGCCAGGTATTAAGTCCGCCCTGTATATATATGTATTTTAATGTGTGTAAAATGATAAATAGATGTCCTTACATTTATGCAGTATTGAGAGAGCCACACCAACTAGAACATATGGCGTGAATTTACAGGGTACAGAGGAATAACACCTGAGTCCTCAGGAATGGCAACACATAGGGGGTTTCAGGCGCGAAACAGTATGTGTGTGTACTGTTATGTCCATGGTACTCATGTCTATAGGCGACGGTTACCACTTTCCATCAGGTGGGCCGTCAGCTTGTTTGCCATTCAAAGTCGTATAAAAAAAAAATATATATTGCAAAACATAAGTCACATTGGCGGTATAGTATAATAATAGTTCCTTATGATATTTCGTAATTCTTTTTAAACGCTCTCCTTCCTTTCGAGTCTCTCATGATTACCCTAACAAGATATAAATAAATATGACGATTATGATAAATAAAAGTTCTGTAAGCACCTGTAAAAGTGATATAGTTGAGTTCTCGATAGTCCATGACCCCGTAGTGGGTTAAAAGTTGAGAGCTCACGCCTGATATGAATCTGCCGGTAAGAGCTGCGATTCGGGTATACGACGACACCAGCGGATACTTTGCAGAGTCCACCTGCCAAGGAAATTTTTATTACAATATTTTGCATAAAATTATAATATTTAAAATAACATCACATTTACAGCCCCACTGATGACTTTTACAAATTCGATATGACAGTCTCACCAAGACGGCGGATTACATTATATAAGTATTTAAAAATAAAGATTTGTTTTTCTATATGCAATTAAGATCTTGTAAGTTCCACAAGGATTGGTATGCTTTGGCCAGCGACCGTGGGAAGTGGAAGAAGTTAGAGGAAGCTTTTGCCTAGCACTGAGACACTATAGGCAATGTATGACTTGTATAAAATTAAACATACAGTTGAGAGTGTGGACTGTGTGGTTGTACAATATTAAATCATAAATATTTTATGGCAGTATATTTTGTTACTAGGAATAGCATCAAATACAACATCTGAATATTTGCAATATCAGATACATTACTCAGTAACTACCAATTTCACTGCTAATTTCATTCTTCAAACAGGTACACAATATGCAAGCGAGTTGCTTGGTAGGGCCATATTTTTTTTAATAGGTGATAATGGAATGGTAACTTCACCTGCGATATCGGTATATGCTGGCGGGGCATCAGTAAGAGATGATAGGTGAAGACGAAAGTAGAGCAGTTGGCTCCATCGTGATAAATTTAACAAGAATTAACCATAATGTTTTTTTTTTTTTTTTATAACACTGGGAGCAAACGAGCAAGCAGCTCACCTGATGGTAAGTGACTACCGCCACCCATAATTACCCACAACACCAAAGCCATTGCAGCTGAGTTGCCGGCTGGTTTTGAGGAGGAATCGCGAAGATCAACTTGATATGGTATATTGCTAGTAATGGGGCTGGGCTATTAGACTGTCAATCAACAACCCTTTTGCTCCCAACAGGGCCATAATAGGTAAAATAGAAGTATCAAGCCAGACGACTTTGTACATAATGTATATATAATAACTATGGTAATTACGATGATTGGGCAAAGCAATCGATCTCGTAAGTACTCAATATGAGGAAGCCTAAAAGTGGCATGGCAATTGATGACAGAATAAACGTTGATTCGACTTGGACATACATATAAAAGATAATAATAAAAAAAGATCGAATTTGGTAATGTATGGATACAGAAAAGAGAAAACTAAATATATTAATGAATGGTCTGTGTGAAGGATTACTTGAAATGGGCTAGCAGCTTGATTCCAAGTACATCATTAGTCATCTGTAACTTTTTATCTTATTGTGTATTTATTAAAGAAATTTAAATACATAAAATTTCCAGTTACATAAATATATTATTTTTAGACGGTAGGTATATAGATAAAGTATTTATTAATTATGTGAGGTAAAGTCATTATAATCAATTATTAAATAATTAATGAATTAACTTCAAAGTTGGTTTACAGTTCAATGTCGTTCTCTTCTTATCTTCACAGAAGTGTGTTCATTAAAGATTTATGTGCATATAATTTATTATAAACAGACTATATATCAATAGTTGTTATCTTCAATTGCAATTGATTTATTACCGATGGTTACACATACTGGCGTTCGCCTGTGATTAATTTCGCATCTAATAAAGTATCTATGTGCCTTACTGTGTACAACAATAACATAAAAAATTGTATAATCGCGTAAAAGTAAGTTTGTTTATTAGTTTTCTCTTAGCGTATATTTCATAGTGACTGGTTAACGGCTTAATCAGTCACTATGAAATTTGGTACACACGGTATAAATTTGGTAAATATGGGATAAAGAAGGACATAAGTTACTTTTCGTCCCAGTCAGCGAATATATCCCGGTTATGAGGACGAAGTCGGGGGTAAAAGCTAATAAAAGGAAAAAGTGAAGTATACGTATGCTTGATGTATTTACTCAAAATGAAGATAATTACTTTAGGTAATTACATTACCTTGTAAATTTAACGACGCAGACTGGTTTTTTCCAACTGTAATCTTAAAGATATACCGAAGAAACGTCTTATATTGCATACCACTTATAATTAAAATTTGTACTTCACAGCTGTGTTATTTTTATACGAATTACTTACTACGAAAAAAAAATGCAATTTGTTCGAGTAGTAATAAAATGTAAAAGTTAATTTCACTGGTGTATGTGTCACTACATGTGCAAGGCCAGTATGTATTCATATAATTTTTGACAAATAAATATTTTAACTGAATAATATAATTTATTTTCATTTGAGAAGTCAAAATTTTATCTACCTATTATTTTAATTTTCATCGTGTTCGCGACATTATTTGTATATATGTAATCGTAATTTATAGTTATGAAGTCCCTAGTTAATCGTTTCTGTATTCTGTTATTTTATATAGATTTACATAGATTTAAGATAGTGTAAGTTAAATAAAGTATTCCTTTGCGTGTTGTCATTATTACCTACGAATAGAAATAGAAATTGTAACAATAAATAGAATTAAGAAATTGTAAATTGCAATAAATAGACGCTATAGAGTACCGATCTGAAGAGACACGCGTCTCGTTCATTCTCGCCCCGTCCCGCTCACACAGATCGCTAACGCGAGTTGGAAATGTTATCGTGCGAGCGGGCGGGTATAAAGATAGGCCGCCTCTCGTCGAGCGGCATTCGCTTCCGGGCAGCGACACACTACACTCGAGAAGAAATAGGACAAGAAGAAAAATACTCTCTTCAGACGGTACCGGAGGCTTCAGAATAGTAATCCCTGTGTTTCACTCCAGCCTGAACCAACGCCCCTACAGTCCACGCTCACCGTACGGCAGTCCACACCGTTCATCGTGGTCCTTCGAGAAGCCGGATTGCTGGAGGAACACCGTTGGTACATCGAGAAGCCGGATCGCTGGAGGAAGACCATTCTGAAGCCGGATCGCTGAAATGCCGACTACGAGAAACATGAAGTCGTCGCAACAAAAAATCGCCGTCACCGAAGCCACAACGTCCGCCGCCACCACGTCGACTACGGCCGCCGGAACGCTGTCCGTCGCTGCCACGCCGTCCGTTGCTGCCACCACGTCGTCTGCGGCTGTCAGAATGCCTTCTGTCGCTGCCACGTCGTCTACCGCCGCCACCACATCGACTACGAACACGTCCGGCGATACGACGACCACAGGAGCCACGGAGACTACCGAAGCCACAGGAACGACAGAGGAGACAGCAAGGAAGAAGGAACCGAAGCACGGCACGGCACGCACGGTTCGCACCACGGCCTCGCAGAAGAAGAAGGCTCTGGCCAAGGCACGGGAGGAACTCCTACTTCGAAAGGAGGTGGAATTGGCCGCCGCACGTGTCGCCGCCCTGGAAGCCGAATCAGAGGACGACGAGGAAGTAGAAGACGACGACGCTACCGTCAGAAGAGAACGAACGTCGGATTGGGTTCGTCGAAGCACGCTGGCACTCACAATGGAGCCGCATGTACCAGAGATAGAAGAAGTCACCGGCAAGCGTCAGGGGTTCGTCCCATCGAGACCCGTTGAAGAGGACGAGAGCGCCGCCGCCACAGCCGAGCAGCGACGCACTTCACCGGGACCACGCACGCCACGTTGACCCACATGCCGCCATTCCTACGATAGCAGCAGCGATGCAGTCGATGAAGAAAGAAGAACCGGTGCTGAAGGTGGGCATCGATTGTAATGAGTTTGCGATCGCCATGCAGATGGCCGCTCGTAACATACTGCCCTCCACAGCGTCAAAGTCACCGAGTTGCCAGTCTTCAATGGATCGTCGAGCGAGTGGTTACCATGGAAGATGGCCTATGAAGAGAGCGCAAGTCAACTCACAGAACAAGAGAACCTAGCAAGACTGCGCAGAAGCTTGAAGGGGGCCGCAAAGGACGCGGCACGCTCCCTATTCGTCGGGTCTACGACCGCAGAAGAAGTAATGAAGATGTTAGCCGCGAGGTTCGGCCGCCCTGGAGCACTCGTCACAGCCGAACTGAACAAACTCCGCGCGCTACCACGACTCTCGGACAACGCAAGAGACGTCTGCCTCTTCGCAAGCAAGGTGCAGAATGTAATGAACAAGAGTCACTACCTCTACAACGAAGAAATAGTGAGAAACGTCACAGAGAAGATGCCGTCGGTACTACGCTTCAAGTACTACGATTTCGCCAACGACCAACCGGAGGGACAACCGGACCTCATAACACTCTCTGTATATATCGCCCCCGCCGAGGAGATACCGTCCGAAGACCGGCGGGATAGGAAGACGGCGAAGACATACACGACGCAGGAGAAACCCGCTACACCACCGTGCCCGATGTGTCGACGAGAGGGACACGCTCCATCGGACTGCAAGACGATGAAGGAAGCGGACACATCGGCGAGATGGGAGTTAGCGAAGACTCATAGGCTGTGTTTCCGTTGCCTCAAAGTAAGAAGATTTCGCCACGCCTGCAAGAGCAAGAGATGTGGAGTGGATGAGTGCACGCAGACTCATCACCCTCTGCTGCACACCACGCGACAACAGCCGGAGAATGAAGTAACGACACACGTCGTCGAGGACAAGTCCGCCGCAGTCACCGCATCGGCAAGGGAAAACGACAAGATCGCGTTCCTGAAGATGCCGATACGAGTCACGGTCCCACGGGAACGTGCGACACCTACGCGCTACTGGACGACGGGTCGACTTGCACCATCAACGGTGGCGGAGCGAAGACGGGTCCCCCCGCACCATTCTACATGGAAGGTGTGGCCGGGGCACGGATCAACGCAGCCCAATCGACGCGTGTTCACTTCAAGATCCGCGGGCGGAATTCACAAGAATACACAGTGGGGGCACGGACGATGGACAGACTGCAGTTATCACCGCAGTCGGTACCGCGCAGCGTCATCAAGGGCTGTCCACATCTACGAGACATAGAGAGGGAGTTGGTCTACGAAGAGGGCAAACCGACGGTACTGTGCAAGACAACTGGCACCTACTGCTGGCCCACGAAGTTAGAAGAGGATCCGACACGCAGCCGGTCGCATCACTCACCGACCTGGGATGGGTACTGCACGGTACGAGTCGCGGCAGGACAAGACAGCAGGTACACAGAATCAGCCACATAGTGACGACACATGAAGAGGAACAATCGATGGAAGAAATGATGAAGCAACATTTCGCGCTCGAATGTGGGAATCGCACCGAAGAGGTCTTACAATGAAGAGGAACGTCGCGCCCTACGCATTTTAGAGGAGAAAACTCGTCCGTTACCGGCGGGAGGATACGAGACGGGGTTATTATGGAAGAAGGACGACCCTGTGCCGCCGGACAACTACGAATCGGCAATGCGACGTCTCCAACTGGTCGAAAGGAAACTCGACAAGAATGAAGAAATCAAGAAGAGATATGAACAGCAAATGGAAACCCTACTCAAGAACGGGTATGCTGAAGTCGCCCCGCCACGGAGTTCCCAACGGGTGTGGTACCTGCCACACTTCGCCGTCATCAACCCGCAGAAACCGGGGAAACTATCGTGCACGACGCAGCAGCCAAGACGAAGGGCATCAGTTTGAACGACATGCTGCTGCCGGGCCCCGACTTACTTCAATCGCTACCGGGGGTCCTCATGCGGTTCCGGCAACGACGGGTGGCAGTCACGGCGGACATAAAGGACATGTTCATGCGGGTCACCATACGGGAAGAAGATAGGGACATGCAACGATTCCTGTGGCGAGGAGATCGACGAGAGGGTACCTTTGGAATATAGGATGAAGAGTGTCATATTCGGCGCAACATCGTCACCGTGTACAGCGATCTACGTCAAGAACAAGAACGCAGAACAGTACAAGGAGGAGTTCCCGGAGGCAGCAACGGCGGTGGTCATGAACCACTACGTCGACGACTACCTCGCCAGCTTCGACACGGAAGAGCAAGCCGTACGCGTCTCAAGACAGGTCGCACAGATCCACGGTCGAGCCAACTACTATCTCCAACGGTGGGCGTCGAACTCGCATCAAGTGCGCGCCGCGTTCTCCGACACCGGCGGGGACAGCGTGGTACAACTCGACGCGGAGAAGATACTGGGGATGGTATGGCGACCTTCTGAAGACACCTTAGGCTTCAACTTCAACGGACACAAGCTTCCGCCACAGATAGCCAGCGGGGAACAGACGCCGACGAAGAGGGAAGCGCTACGAGCGATCATGTCACTGTTCGATCCACTGGGCCTCGCCACTCCCATCACCATACAGGCGAAGAAGATATTGCAGGAGACGTGGCGTACCGGTATCGACTGGGACACCGAGCTGCAACCACGGGAAGCGGACGCCTGGCGGATATATCGACGGCTGTCCGCGCTGGAGGTGCCGCGGTGCTTCGATACATTGCATACATTCGTCGACGCCAGCTCGGACGCGTACGCCTGTGCCGTGTACTGGCGGGCCGTAAGCGCGACCGGCGAGGTCCACGTGTCGCTGATCGCGGCAAAGGGACGAGTGGCCCCACTCAGCAAGGTGACCACGATACCGCGACTGGAGCTGCAAGCGGCCGTCCTCGGGTGTCGCCTATCGCGCACGGCAGTCGAAGAACACGACCTGAAGCCCGCTCGCCGATTACTGGTCGGACTCACGCACCGTGCTCGCATGGCTACGCACCGGTCCTCGCGCATAAAGCCGTTCGTCGCGCATAGAGTCGCCGAGATCGTCGAAGAAACGAAGACGAACGAGTGGAGATGGATACCGACGCGGCACAACGTAGCAGACGACGCCACACGCGACCCACCGACGGACTTCGGCTCGCAGCATAGATGGTTCCGTGGGCCGGACTTCCTGTACCTCCCCGAAGAGCAGTGGCCGCGTGAAGATAGTACGAGCGACGATAGTCAAGCGGAAACGGGAGAAGAACGCGTACACAAGCTACAGAACGCGACGCAGTTGTCTATAGCATTACCCGATCCGTCACGTTTTTCTAATTGGTTGAAACTTGTTCGCAGTTCAGCACGGGTGTTGCATATTCCTCATCAACGCTGCACCGCCATGCCGTTGGACCCGCACGAAGAAAGTCGATAGAGAGAAGACGAAGATGAAAATCAAGAACAGCAATAGTCCATCTGTGTGTTTCATCCCCATAGACACACACTATAGATCGCGCGCGACGGCTATGGATTCGCGCGATACAACAAGAGGCGTTCGGCAACGAAATCGCAGCATTGAAACATTTGCCGTCATCCAGTCGACTAGCTGTCGGTCGTCATAGACAACGACGACATTCTGCGACTTCGATCGAGAATAGCAGCCGCCGCCGATCTGTCAGCCGAGCAACGAGAGCCCCCCGTCGTCGACGGAAACCACACCTGGGTGCGCCTATACATCGCATGGGTGCATTGGAAACTTCACCACGGCGGCTTCGAGATCACCACGAACGAGGTGCGACAACATGGGTGTTATACGACACGCCGTCCGCAGTGAACTGAAGAGGTGTCAGCTGTGCCGCCTACGAAGAGCAAGACCGGCGCAGCCATCAACGGGCAACCATCCACAAAGGCTGGCGCATCATCAAAGTGTTCACGTTCACCGGCCTAGACTACTTCGCCTATGACCGTGACAGTGGGCCGATCGCCAGAAACGATACGGAGTGCTCTTCACCTGCCTAACGACGCGCGCAGTCCATAGAAATCGCCGGCAGCCTCAGCACGGACTCCGCCATAATGGCCCTGCGGCGCTTCATAAGCCGCAGAGGGTGTCCCACGGAATTATGGTCCGACCAAGGCACCAACCTCAAAGGTGCTGACGTCGAACTGAAGAAAGCAGCCGAGGAAGCCATCCAAGAAGAGTCATCAGTTCATTTCATCCGGTGGCGCTACATTCCCCCGAGCGCACCCTTCATGGGAGGTGCGTGGGAACGGCTGGTGCGTAGCGTGAAGACCGCACTAGCCGCTACGTTGAACGAGCGGGCGCCCAAGGAAGAAGTCCTCCACACTCTGCTGGTCGAGGTCGAGCACACCCTCAATAGTCGACCGCTAACCCACGTGTCAACATCGGCAGACGACGACAGCGCCCTAACCCCCAATCATTTCATATTGGGCGGTCCATCGCGCGTCCCACTCCCAGGCAGCTTCACAGAGAGCGACGCGGCGGGACACAAGGAGTGGCGTTATGATTGCTTCTGGAACCGGTGGGTGAAGGAGTACCTACGAGTTGCAACACCGGCGGGAGCCCCGAGCTACACACGGAGCCATCAAAATGGACGACCTGGTCCTGATAGCTGATGGGACCTTGCCTCGCAACACGTGGCCGCGAGGCGTGGTGGTGGCGACCTACCCTGGACCAGACGGCGAGATCCGAGCAGTCGACGTGCGGACGAACAAGGGCATCCTACGGCGACCCACTAAGAAGCTGATCATACTGCCCACATCGACATCGAGCGACGCGAACACGAGTTAACTCCAGCTACGAGAGCTGCGGCGGGAGATTATGTTCGCGACATTATTTGTATATATGTAATCGTAATTTATAGTTATTAAGTCCCTAGTTAATCGTTTCTGTATTCTGTTATTTTATATAGATTTACATAGATTTAAGATAGTGTAAGTTAAATAAAGTATTCCTTTGCGTGTTGTCATTATTACCTACGAATAGAAATAGAAATTGTAACAATAAATAGAATTAAGAAATTGTAAATTGCAATAAATAGACGCTATAGAGTACCGATCTGAAGAGACACGCGTCTCGTTCATTCTCGCCCCGTCCCGCTCACACAGATCGCTAACGCGAGTTGGAAATGTTATCGTGCGAGCGGGCGGGTATAAAGATAGGCCGCCTCTCGTCGAGCGGCATTCGCTTCCGGGCAGCGACACACTACACTCGAGAAGAAATAGGACAAGAAGAAAAAATACTCTCTTCAGACGGTACCGGAGGCTTCAGAATAGTAATCCCTGTGTTTCACTCCAGCCTGAACCAACGCCCCTACAGTCCACGCTCACCGTACGGCAGTCCACACCGTTCACATCGATATATACAAAATACGAAGATAATTAAAGTTTTCACCTTAACGTAAGAATATCCATTTGTAATTTTTATTATTATTATTGACGTCGAAAATCGTTAGACTAGGGGATGCATTGAGTGGTAGCCTTCATAAGTAATTAAATATTTGAAATGCTTTTAAAATGAACAATACACTTTCAGTAACGGGTGAGCCTAATGCCTAACTATGCCTCTGGTGCAGCAACCATTCATGGGTTACTGAATCCGCTTATCAATATAACAGACAGGCCCTATGCTTGATTGCAACTCTTGTTGTATGTACAAAAACAATATAGATATTATTACAAGAAAACAATATACTTCACTACTTTTTAAAATCTATAGATACTATGAATCAATTTATTTCAATTGACATAAATTACCTTTGCATATATGTAAGTGAGGTACGCGACCTCTGTAGCCATATAGAGACCGAATAAAAATTGTGAAACCTGAATCCATTCCAGACTTGAAGTCCATAGTAATATAGCATATACAGAGATTCCACTTAATCCTGTAACAAAATAAAAAAAACACATTATTATCTAAAATTTTATGGAAATTAATTGTGGGCGTAATTTCGATCACGCTCCAAAATTGTCTTATCTCTTGAAAAAGAGAGCTCTTAATGCAGTAACAAGTAGTCTAAACATTGACCTACATACTATACAGTACTTTATTAAAATTCATACAACAGTTTAATTAATTTCTAATTTATTACAAGTTAGGTACTTGTAGTAAATTAAAAATTACTAGTAACACCTGGACTTACGCAAACCCGGAGTTATGTGGTTACGGAGTTACAAATCTCGTAGATTTGATCGTTTGAACGTCACATCACTCGGTATCTTATTCCCCACACACTATTGGTAAGCTAACGTATATATAAGAATGTGTCTCGTGAAAGAAATGCTTAGCTAGGAGTTTACAGAGATGCATAAGCAATTATACTACGACAATGCGGTTATCGCTTAGTCCTACCTCATTGCGACAGTACGAGGTATTAGTGTATAAATAATATCATTTAATATTGTATCAATACTCTATCTATAGTGTAACACATACTCGTATATATGTACAATACTATAATATAATAACACTTGTGTATAATGCAGACACGCTTTTGATTACACACACATTTATAATTGTGTCTAATTAGTTAATTCGTATCTGTAGTAAAATGTTAGGTGTACTCATATACGTCACACATGATGTTTACAGAAATTGAAAGTGATCATTGCGTGATGTAGTTAGAAATGGAGTCGCATTCAACCCGGAGTTTTTTTTTAATGGGTGAAGGTGGAATGGTAACCCCGCTTGCTCCATCGGTATATGCTGGCGGGGTACTAGTGAAGGATGACAGGTGAGGATGAAAGCAGGTCAGTTGGCTCATAGTGTTAGAAAAGTTAGTTTTCTAATTACCCCAACTGAGAATCGAACTCGTAGTCTAATAGCAATCCAATATGCTTGACGCTGCGATATGGAGTTTGTTAAGTTGAAATTAGAAGAAATTAAAATAAGTAAAGGAGTAAGTGCTTTTGTTTCATTTACTCAATAAAACTGATCAGAGGGCTTATCACGAAATATTTTTCGAAATTTCGGGACCGAACAAATACAAATTTGATGTTAAAATTACATAATACACACCATTCTAAATATAGTTCCTGTAAACTTTTATGATAGGATTTATAATGAACGCAATATTACGCTTCATTTACCAGATCGATTTCGGTATGAACGAAAACACGAAATTGAGCCCGTAAATGTGGAATTTCATTTCATGATAGACCCCTCTAACATCGTCCCGGAGGGAAGGTAATATACGTGAAAAACTTTCACAATACTATCTAATCATCATACAACGCATATGACATTCTTAGCAATAAGCACCACATTATTAGACCACATTCGCGTCATCTAGCCCTTGAATGAAGTGCAATTTAGTAGAATTATCTTATTGAAGTTGCAGATACACGCAGTAAAAATTCGGTAACTAGGCCACCTGTGTTATTTAACACACAGTGTAAAACGCAACAGCAGTAGTAAATCAACAAAATTAGTTTGAATTATCAATTCGATTACGTCACATAATTATTATGCATGCGTGTCTACTGCTTATGCTAAGTGGCCATTTATGTATAGGTATAGTGTTAAGAGAGCTAATGCAAGTATACTTACAGCGTATTAAACGCAAAGACCAATGTGACGATAAGGTTCTTTTGTGAAAGGATGATTAATGAAGTAGTAACCTACAACTACCACCGGTGAAGGATGATAAGTGGTAAGGCCCATTGTGACGAATTCATTAGGATTACCATAATGATTTCCAGGAGGAACCATGTAGAGGTCGGCCTGATGGGTATATTGCTAGTAATTACTAACAATCCCTTCTGCCGATAATAAAGGTTTTTTTTTTGGGTGATAATGGAATGGCAACTCCGTCCGCGCTATCGGTATACGCTGGCAGAGCACCAATGAGGTACGATACGTGAAGATGAAAGCAGGTGAGTTAGCCCATCGTGATAAAATCCACAAGATTTAACCACGATGATTTCCAGCAGAAATCACTTGGCGGTCGACCTGATATATTACAGTACATTGTATTATAGTACATTGCTAGTAATGGAGTTGTTAGATCCTCATTCCTAACAATTCCTTCTACCAACAATAAAGGTTTAGTCACAGTATAAAAATAGATGAAGTCTGCTATACAAAAGTTACGAGTAATTGTAATTTTTATGCTATCGTATTAATAGGGATATATTATATATAGGGATTCTGTCCTGTAGTACCAGTGTCGTCTACGTTTTATGCAACATTTACTACAAATGTGAATTACATTGTATTCTGTGGGCGACGGAACGTCTATCGATAGCCGTGTAGGAAGAAACTTGGCCGTGTTCCGATGTTTTACAAAACAATCACATGATACTTAGCGTCACACTATGCCGAAATTACGTGAAAATAAAATATATTCTATAGAGTGCAACTGAGGTTAGAGGACCGCATTTTTAATGTAGCAAAGGGAGACCGAGTTGGTTTGAAAGTATCAGTGTACACGTGAGAAACAGCGTGGTACGTTGGATTAGGTACTTACGTGTTGGAAAAAATATAAAGGGAAAGTAGGTACTTATGGCATGCGATAGAAATTTATGACAATTCAATAGATCATGTTTTACTTGAGGGAGAAATAAAAAATCTCCAGAACCAGTTTCTTGCTTTTCTCTATTTACGAAATGAGACAATTATTTTCTATACTAAAAAGAGATTGCCAATATTCAATTTCACAGTAAAATTCAATGTAAAATTTAGATTCAATTTCTAGGAGAAACCACAGATTAAACCCATTAATTACTGGGCCCAGATTCCTCCTGACAAGAGAAGGATATAGGCCTACCAATCTAATACAGTTCTGGCGCTCTAGACAAGTGACAAGCGAATTCGTCGATGGAATCGACATCGCTAGCGTGTCGTAAGTTGGAATGAGTCCTCCGGCATTGGTATCTCATTCTATCTCACGGACGCGCTTGTGATGTCGATTTCATCGACGAATTCGTTTGGCATTTGTATAGAGGCCCTGGTCAGACGACTTGACTTTAGTAGAGAGTTGAGGAGAAAATGTAGAGTGTTATTCCGAGGTTTCTTTTTCTTTACGGGATACATCCTATTTTGTTTCCTTAGTCACCTCTTACGACGTCTCATCTGATTGATGGGGAAGTATTTTCATCCTCATTACAATGTAATCTAAGTCCATCACCACAGAGAGAATTAATTTAAACGAAAGAAAGAATCCTTCCTTAGTATATTAATATTTTTTTTGTTTTTATATAGCAGCTTAACGGTTTAACCATTCACTTTGAAATTTGATATACACGCACTATATCGGATGGAGAAGAATATAGGCTATGTTTTATCCCAGTCAGTAAATATATCCCGGTCACGTGAACGAAGTCACAGGTAAAAGCTAGTATCAAATAAATTCGTAAACAGACTATCAAAGTACACATAGACATTGTTGATAAGAAGTAATCATTATAACGTTTTATAATCCGACAATTTCACTCTTGTGCGTTCATATTGTAAAGGATATAAAATAAATCTACTTTAATTTATGTTTATTTAGGAACGAATTTCGTACTTTAAGCTTTACTTATGGCTTTACACTCATTGTAAAGTATGTATAGGGACATACCTGTATGTGATAAGAATGGATGCTGACATAGATATGGTTTAATATACATGTCGTAATGTACTTATATTTTGCATATAAATGTTTGAAATAATTACTTAGTTTTGTAATAATACTCTGTTACGTCCACAATATTGTTCATGTCTATAGGCGATGGTTATCAGGTGGGCCGTCAGATTGTTTGCCATTATAAGTTACATAAAAAAAACTAAAAAAGTATGTTGATTTAAAAACTTTGATATAATTGTTAACAATTATGGCAATATCCTTCTAAAGAAACAACTATATGTGTATAAGAACTATAGTTGCAAAATGAACCTATGTTTCAATTCCATTTGGCGCCATTAGTTCAATTCAAGATCATGGCCACATGCAAAGTAATCTATATTAATAAAAAACTATAAAGATTTTTTGTTTGTTTTTCTGTACATACATTCTATAGGTACTGGATGGATTTTGATGAAACTTAGCATGATTTACTGTAATAATTATTATTAAGTATGGATAGAACAGTAATGGCAACGCATGGGAGGTATCGTGGGCAAAACAGTATACTCTGTTATGTCCATGGTACTGCTCATGTCTATATGCGACAGTTACCACTTTCCATCAGGTGGGCCGTCAGCTTGTTTGCCATTCTAAGTTGTATAAAAATAAAAATAAAAAAAATTCCTGTAGAAATTTCAAGAAATATTATCAATAATTTCTTCAATAATAATCTCAATAAGAATTTTGGCACTTATTTGGTTATAATTCTTTTTGTTGCATTTGTAATTATTAGGTTTGTATTAAAGCATATATTTGAAAAATTATACAGAAGAGTGAAAAGTTTGGGTTAAAAAAATCCATATAAAAAAGTGAGTGGGGGATGATTTGGTCTCATTATCATCTTTAGTAGACCGCAGGCAAAATTTTAAAATACTTTTAAATGCAACAAAATGAATGTGCGCACAACCAATGGGGTAATCAGAGGCATTTGTCAACTGTTGCTATTATAATGTATGTAACAATTAATATTTCAACCTTTTATCGAGTATAAACTGACACTTAGATTAATTTGGTCTTATATTACAAAAAGGGACAACTGTATAAAAATATTATAATTATTACATAAACAAATACACTACATACATATAATGCTTTACAGTATACCCTTGATATTCTTACATATCACCTTTTACAATGACTATGAAATAATTTTTTATAACTTTTGTTTTTCTAATAATTTTTGCTTACTGAAATGTGGCATTGTTACCTTTAAATTTTCAATAACAAATTTTTAATGTTTTTATTTATTTATAAAAGAGACCTGTTAATAAATTAAAACATTAATAGTAGAATATTTGGCATTTAAATCTATTATTAAAATTTTTGCACCTATTTAATATTTTGCTTTGGATTTATTCAAAAACATTTTTTTTAATAATAGTTTAATAACATAATATATGATTACTATAAAATGTTTGTTAGCAGAACATTTTTTAAATAATCAGTCAGAAACATTGTAAATTCTTCAATTATTTTTGGAAATTGATAGAGTTGCAAAGTTGTCACACTTCATTATGAACACTTAAAACTGTGCTAGTTTGTCTAATTAAAAATTCAGTTTGAAAGACTTTCAAATATTTATTTTAAGAAAAAAAAATATGTTTTTTAAAATGCATCTTTGCTGTGTGGTCCCGGCATAGAGTAGGTCACCCCTTCCTTTTCCATGGGTGTTGTAAGAGGTGACTAAGCAAATTGATGGTCAAGGTATTGACAGCAGCATCCCTTTTAGAACATCACCAAAGTCTAACTGCACTTGCCAATCTGCCTGCCAAGGTAGCAACTATTGTCAAATCACCCCTTTTGGGGATCATCAATCTTGAGTTAAATAAAAAAAATTAACCTTACAATAGTTGAAGTAAGTTTTTATATAAGATATATGAGATTTTAAAAAAAAAGTTGTGAGTTTCACTGCTACATAATTTGTTATTTAAATAGTATATTCATACGAGTCTTAGGGATAGGCAAAAATTTTATATTTTCATAAAGAGTAACTATATAATAAAATCAAATATGTATAAATATTATACACTACATAATATAAAATTCATTTTATAGATTAAGGTAGTTAATTGTCTGTTAAATTAAACAATAAAAACCAATAGAATATAATTAAATATAATGTAAAAATTATACTCACCAGACAAAATAATAATTGGCTTAAATCTCAAAAAGTCAGTTACTAAGAAGACCACAACCAACAGGCATAAATATGAATATGTTCCAACAGGATACACCTCACGATTCAATTGATCTTCTGTAATATTTCTCCATTCTCCAAGTAAAAATTCAGTTACAAACGGTTCCGAAGGGCGGATTTCTCGTAAAGTACCGAATAAGCATAAAATAAGAGTTACTTTGATCCAATCTTGCATTGTACTGAGTTTTTTGTACAATTTATTATTGTACAATGTATCTATTGAAAATCACGCGCGAACTTTTGACATTGAATGCACCCACAGCCACAGCGTTAACACTTCAGTCATAAGACGCAGTCGGCTGCCAACTGTTCGGTTTCTTATCTGGGTAGGAATGCTTATAGCTAATGTACGTAAACATTAACGGCGAGGGTTTTATTATCAAAGTTATCGTAAATATAGTATCAGGAATACCAAATATAGACATGTTTCCTTAAATTTATTAATGAAATTTCGAATTAATTTATTTTTAATTTATCATTGCAAAATAAACACACAACAAATAACTTACGTAATTTGTTAATTTTTAATTCTGACAGAAATTGGATTTGGAATTTATTTATGATAATTATAGAGTACAATGATTAGAAAATTATTCTGTGTTTGTTTTTTTTAATTTTGAAGACTATAATATGAAATGGAAATAAAAATAACTTTCAAAACGCGATTAATAATCCCAATCGTAATACCCAACACACATTACGAATAACGACACACGTGATAGTAGTGACAATGACATTGATTTGACATTGACGATATGACATTTTACTTACCACAGAATACATATGTCTATATTATCATACAGTAATAGTACTATCTTAGACTATACTTCTTCCTCTCGCCATACAAATGTTTCGAATTTTTTTTTAATCTTTTTCATGCAATTGAGTACGCGATAGGGTTACCAGATTAGAAATTATTACCTTTTATTAAAGTAAACAGGTAAATGTCGTAAAATATTAGGATTCAATAATCTTGTACAATATTAAACTAGAAATAGAAAATGTTGTACGGCCGTATACCTTACAAAATTCAAATACAACCTGTTTGCATATTTTCTACATAAACTGTGTCGAATATATAATTTAGTAATGTAATTGAACAAAAATTTTACATACACATTTTTTATACACTAGCCTGCTATGAATTGAGAAAAATAGCAACTGATGGTGTATCTTTCGTTCTCTTTTTACTATGATTTACAGTTTTTATTTCATCATTCCTTCTATGTAATTCCTTGTTCTCAGTTTTAGGCTCTACCGCAATAAAAAAATTTAGGCTACTTAAGGTCCAGTTTGGCGCATTCCGGTCCATTTTATCTGGCAACACTGACTATGTATTTCTCTATAGGAATTGTCTTTCAATAAGAATATGGTCCTTAATAATATTATATATCACTTCCAGCATTGTTTCCAATCCTTGTCTGAAATTTCAATCATAATGTTAAATGTTAAAGATATAGCAAATCACATTTATGTAAAAGTTAAATGGTCAATGTACAAATGTCCTTACAATTCATTGCTTAACTATCTAGATATTAAATGATAAATAGACTTAGTACATAACAAATTTGATTTTCTTGAATTTTTGAATAAGAAATCACATTTCTATGTCATCTATATTGATGGTTCTAAAAGTACAAATAGTGTTAGAGCAGCATATTATGATTTACAAAAAAATTCACTTAAAAATATTAAATTGGAAGAAAATTGTAGTATCTTTACAACTGAAAGTTATGCTATTGTAAGTGCTTTAGTATTTGTAAATAACTTTGTACATAATGTAAATATATTAATAGTTTCTGATTCCAAGAGTGTATTGGAATCTTTATATAATTGTAATTACTCATATAAACAAAATACTTTATGAAATTAAAGATCAGTTACAAACATTGAGTTGGAGTAAAAACTGAATTTGTGTGGGTACCCTCGCATAGTGGCATACCAGGGAATGAAGTTGTGGAACAAGTGGCTCGCCGAGACCACGTTGAGGATCAGTCGGAAATGTTGAATGTTCTGTTCACAGATTATTATCGACTAATTAAAAGTAATACTAAAGATAAATGGTATGCGGAGTTACAGCGAGACTTACCAATTAAACCTTGGTATAGCAAATTCAAATACTGCGGCAGGAAATTTATTATGACCATCAATCGCCTTCGTTTTGTGCATTGTTTAGTTCCGGTTCACCTCAACAGATTTAATATTACTAGTGGCAATAAGTGTGAATACTGTTTTAAAGACAATGCAGACATAAAACATATTATACTTGAGTGTCAAAATTTCAATATTCAACGGTTAAACCTTGTTACTGATATCAGTAACATTGCGAAGGAACATCCACAATGTGTTCCCCGCCGCGTTCAAGATTTATTATCCAACGAAACTTATTTTATGCTTGTTTTTAATTTCATTACTAATACTGTAGATAAAATTTAAGACATTTTTTATGTTATCAATATTGTTAATTATTTTTATTTGGTAATTTGTACTATATTTTCTTTTTTGTAAATATCATTTATGTTTGTGACTGAAGGCCATCCATTGTCATAAATAAATTAAAAAAAAAAAAACCTTTAGGTGTTTTTTTCTTATCTGTTTTTAGATATAGTCTCTGTAATCTGCGATGTATTCGCATTTATTTATATTTGCTTATATCGATGTTTTTCATTCATTGTTTTGTTAATTAATTATACATGGAAGGAAAGCAGGAAATCTTAAAAATAAAATCAATATGACAGAAAAAGTTGATTCAAATAATTCATTATTTTGTGCTTATTGTGGAAAAGAGTTTAAATATGAAAGTCAAAGGAAAAGGCACCAACAAAGTCACTCTCTCCCATTTCAGTGTAAAGTTTGCAAGAAAAGATTTAGTTTTATGTAAGTTTGTTATTATTTGTTATTGTTTTATTGGTTCTAGTAGAGTTCAGTAATGCACCTTTTAGTAGACTAAAATTTATCTGTTCATGTGGTGACAGAGTAAGGAGAATAAAATGTATCGTCATTCTATTATTGTGAACAGAATGAGATAAAATATTTGATGAATAATATATAGTATATGGTGGGCCTATATTGAGTATATTAGTGTAAAAGTCATCTACCCAGAATGGGCTAATTGTCTTCCTTTTGTGGAGAACCCACACCTAGCTAGAAGATGTTAAGTTTTTATGATATGTATAAAAAGTATAAAGAAAATTGATATATAGTAATTAATAAATTGAATATGAATGCATGTTACAGATCAGCATTACGTCGCCATGAGAAGCAACATGAAAGAACTGGGAGTGTTCAATGCACTGAGTGTAAAGGAAAATTCCGTGATGAGACATTACTTAAAAGACACATCAAATATGCACATAAAGGTGGTAATTACTTTTATTTATTTTTTTATCATGAAAGACATACAAAAGTCAAAGCAAACATTAAAATATGAACATTAAATCCCTTGGGAAATTTAATGTCCAATTAATATAATATTTGTATTATAGGTAATATTACTTGATTGTTTAACAGTTGATTATGTACTTAATCAATTATTATGAAATTCAGTATATATATATTTATTTTTTATACCATGAAGGTGGAAACAAGCATACAGCCTGTCTAAAGATAAATTGTTACTGTAGTCTATGGACACCTGTAAAACATATAATGGTACCCATAGTGGCCTAACTAGGTAATCAAAGGCCCTGGAACAAAAATTAAACTAACCTAAGACTACAGGGGAGTTTCCTGCAAGTTTCAAACAAAAATGTTGGTGACTTGTTGGCAATGTATTTGCCATCAAGTCTCCAACATTTTGTATTTTTTCAAATAAGTTGTCATTATTAAAGTTACATTTCTGGAATCTGGTTTATTTGTATTCTGTAAGTGGGATAAATTTTATTAGTTTCATTTATAGTTTGTTAGTCAGAGTCTGAGGGCCTGAACTTAGGGGCCCTGGGGTACTGCCCTATCTAGCCTTCTGGTAGCTACTCCACTAGCTATGGAAGATATAGGTTACTTTATCTTGGTTTATCAATATATCTCTTAAGTGGATGATATTTCCGGTAATTGCTGTTAGTAATACAAATTTTAAAATAGTATAACTAGTTATAGGATGAGCATTTAGTCAACAAGTCTAGCTAAAGAAATAGTATGAAAAGTTAAGCTTTATACTTATGTCCTTTAATGAAAACAACCATATTTTGTTGATATTATATTATCACAAAAACAATCTCGAATAAAATTAGTAACAAATGAAGATTTATTCAATTAAGTAATTGTTTGTTCTTACTACTATTGGACATCAGTAGATTGTCCTATGTTTAGATTAATTATTTGATTGTTTAAATTTTAATCATGTTTTGTTGAAACAGTCTATACCTACATGTTCCTTATAAATTTTACATTTAAATAAGATTTTATAACTTTATGCATTTAATTCTAAAAGAAAAAATAAATATTGTTTTACAGAAAAATGTGTTTGCTCACAATGTAGTACAATATTCAACAGTGAGTTAGCACTACGTACTCACATGAAAACGCACAAGCCCGAGTCAGAACGCAAGTATCGATGTAGTGCAGATGGGTGTAACAAATCATTCAACTTTGCACATCACTTAAAAAATCATGAGTTCACCCACACAAAAGCGAAACAACACTATTGTAAAATATGTGGCAAAGGTGACTTATATTGTTATTATAAAAAAATATTTAACAAAGTAGGCACTAGATCTGTAGCTATTCTTGGAATATGTGTTAGCCTGTGGCAGTTAAAATATATAATAAAATTCTGATTAAATACAGAGATTTAACAGATAAGAAATTTAATGAGAAATAATTGGCTTTCTGAGAAATGTGTTTACTTGCTTGAAATCTATTTTAATGTAAAATTTAAAAAACAAGTTCAATATTAAATATTTGTATACAGAAGTTGAATACAGATGCTATTTTTGATTTTTAACACTTCTAATGTAATTAAATAAATATTCAAGCAAATAAAGTTATCATTAATTCATAGGGGATAGAGGATGCTGTCTAACATGTCCAATGGTATTTATTATTATGTATTTAAATTCACCAGGATTTATACAACCTCATCATATGAAAACCCATATGAAATCCCATGAACCCGATGAAAACAAACTGTGCTGTATTATGCCTAATTGTACCAAGAAATTTTCTAATGAATATGCAAGAAAACGGCATCTAGCAACCCATAGTAAGTACATTTTTTTATAAAACTTGGAAAGATAAATAAGCTTATTACCCATTCGATAGAAGATAGTAATGGTATAGAAATGAATACAATCATCCACTCTGTTCTTAAAAAGAGGAATATTTCTGTTACACTTTATATTAAACTTTTTTACATCAATTGTGAACTCTTTTTGATGACTGTTATCTATTAATTTCATGATTGCCAATTCAAAGAATGAGGACAATTTTTATGTTTCTAATGTTTATAATTTTAGAAAATAAAATGGACAGCGGGATATCTTCCGATTCAAGCGCAGGCTGTGATGTTACACATGGACAGAACACTTCAGGTATATTATAAATATTATATTTAATTTCAAACATTATTGTGATCAGTGGCGTAGCTAGGTGTGGGCGAACTGAGCCCTCGTCCACGGCCTCGCACGTAAAAGAGGTCTCGCGAGACGTCTTTAAATGTGATGCCACCAAACTTAAAACACCAGTTTATTATAAAAATTAAATAAAAACTTAAAAAATATTGACCACACTTGTCTCTTTTTTAAACTTGAAATAACAACAACCAAACAATTCCTAGTTTTATTATATGAATTAAGTACTTAAGAAACAGTATGGAGCAGGACTAACTCTCTGCTTTAGCATTACTGTCAATCGAAGTAGATTTAGCTGCAAAAATCAATTAGAAATCCTTACTACAGGACTTGAGTAAAGCAAAAAGCTGAAGCTGATTACTTTTATAAAAAATTTAATCACTTATGTTACAAAAATATTTTTTTTTTTCACTATCATAAGTAGGTATGTCGTGTCGAAGCATGTTTGGTAAGATAGGTTTATTGGGTAGATATTGGGAACGAAAGAAAAGGGGCTCGGTTATGCGACTTTGCTCATGTCTATATTAGTCTACGCTACGCTACTGATTGTGATTATTTATTTTAATATTATGATATATTTCAGGTGTGCTACATAATAAAGTTGAATTTGGACAGACTAGTGGGTGCACAACTAGTGATATTAACACTTCATTAAATTTGGAAAAATCTCTATTGAAAGAAACACCTAATAATAATAAGTCAACTAATAATGACAAATTATCTAATGCAAATACAATTGATAATTCTACTGTTAGAGACTGTAAATCAGCGTTAGGTGGATGTATTATGGGTGATGGAACGGATATAAATAAAAATTGTTTGTGTGCTCAAATATCTTCTCCTGTCAACGAATATTACGATTTAATACCAGAAGAAAATAATCATAAATTAAAGGAGTTACATAAAAACGAGAATTTACAAGAAGTAAATAAAAACATTTATGCTAGTGATATAAGCGTGAAAAGTACAAATACTTGCGAAGGTTGCGATTGTGGAGGTGTTTTTAATACGAGTGATACACAAGTTACAAACTGTGTAAATATTGATAAAGACAGTGTAACATCGGAAAATGAATGTGGGTTTGGTTTGTCTAAAACAAAGGAAATATTTGACATGGAGACAAATGAAAACATGAAATTAGAAAAAAATGAAAATATTTTTGTATCATTCAACAGCTGTAAGAGTGTACTAGGAAAATGTATAGTTAGTGGTAATGGTACTATGGGAGAAGGATGCTTATGTGCGAGAATGGCTTTAGATGATCAGTCGATGATTGCTAAGGAAATTGATGAAATCACCCCACAACCAAATATTTATTGATAAGACTGTAACATATTTTAGTCAGTGGTCACATAAAATGATATTTAGATTTTTGTTTTATTGAAAATACTATTTAGAACATATCTATTGTTGCGTAGTATCAATAAAATCGTTGAGATATGTGTATATGTGATTGAGTAGCAAATATCCAAATTTGTAAAATTTTTCAAATTGTTATTGTTGAAATAAAATTTCTAGTTTTATAATTATTATAATTTTATATTTATTTACAAAGTAATTCTTTACAATTTCAACCATTTATACAAAATATATCTTAGTTAACAAATACTACATAATTATTATTTTACAATCAGACCTCACTTCTGCATATCACTAAATTAAGATATTTAAGAACAATTGGAATGTAGCTATTACTTGCGAGTTATCACAATACGGCATGGCAGACAATATTTTCATTCGTCACGAGAAAATATACATTAGACGTAATTTATTAATACATTAAATCGAATATTTCATTCAAGAATTAATTTTGATAATATAATTATAATATACACAGCTATGGTAACAATTTATAATAGGATATTTCAAGTAATTCTTTTTGGCTGAAGTACCCATTCAGAAACATCTACACTCTTTTGGAAACATCATGTTAGGGTATATATGTGAATCAATAAATAATTCTAAAACCTCACGATGATGACTCTTTTCTAGATTGACTAGTCTAATAAAATTAAGTGTCATCAACTGACTGACAAAATCTAAATTACTATTCTTTAGTAGGTAGGTACTGTTTTAATAATATTACGGGGGAGTATCACTTCTTCATAAAGTGGTCAACTAATTAGAATCAATAACCTGCTTTTACATTGGTATAAAAAGTTTGTTTGATAGAAACTTGTTCGACAGCATCACAGGAAACAATCAGAATATAATACAAAGTACACATTAATTATAATATACTACTACGCATCATAATTAGTTACTGTATCCAATTTGGTTATATCTAATGTCCTTTTATCACTCTTTTTTGGAGAATCACTAATGTCGTTAAGCTCCTGTAGGTTCTTACTTTCATAATCCTTTTTAAGTGCTCCCCTTTCGTCTGTTTTTTCAGGTTCTATAGGAACAACACTAAGATAATCGCTTGAATCGTCATTTATAGCTTCTGTTGTCTCGGGAATAGCTTTGGTTGAATTGTTTAATATTTCATTTACATTGCTTTTTGTCTCAGAGATCTGTTTTCTATAAAGATCTAAGTCGTCAGTGTCTTGTAAAAATGTTGATAAATTTTCTTGCTCAACTACTGAATACATATGGTTTCCGGTACTCTCTTTGTTTGTTTCTATGTTTTGGTTCAAGGAGTGGCTATTCATCAACTCATTGAATGCTGTATCAGTTTCTGTGGTAGTAGTATCAGTTTCGCTTTTCGTTAATACTACTAATGTGTCATTATTTGCCGAAGTATGGACATCTGAAGTATTCATAATATGCTCTTCAGTGTTTTCGTTTTGAGTCTCGTTTAAGTTAGTTGGTTCTAAGTCGTGTCCTTCTTGTAATTTCTTAACGAGATGTTTATTGTTTTCCACCTCTGGTAGAAAAGGATTCATTTCTATTTCGTGATCATCATACTCAGCCGAATGAGAATGTGTGATATTTGTTAACGTACTTGAATGGTTACCAATATGACTAGGTATTTCATATATTTGAACGCCTAAATTGTTCCCTTGCGTTGAATTTAGATTTTCGGTACTTTTAGTATTATCCAAACCTAATACTACAGTCGTTGGGGTATTTGTGGTTACAGACAGAACTGTATTATTTATAAGAGAAATATTAACATCCGATCTTTCCGATATCTTGTCTGTATCTGTATTCTTTTCAGTTTCTGATACTTCCCAAACTGGTGCTGGTTCAACATTAGTAAAAGTTGGAGATTCATTCGTAGTTTGAGTCCTATTTTGATCATTTAAAATATCCGTAGATTCATTCGTATATTTTTCGGCTGTTTGATAGATATATTCGCTGATAGTAGTAGTTTCTATTGGTACGATATGTAATGAACTGTTGACAGGTGTTTCTTTAATGTTTTCTGTAGAACTTTGTTTTGGAAGGGGTTCAGTTGTTATATCGTTATTTACTCTTTTGACTCGAGAATCTTCATTATCATAATCTTGTATTACACCATGGAGAGGTACATCAGATTCCGTAATTTTTGTACTAGTTGAACTCATGTTATTTAAATAATCTGGTTCGAAGTCATCTTTGGTAACATCATGGTTAATTATATCATCAATTTTACTACTTACACTTGTTTCAGTCGTTTCGTGCTTTTCCATTTTATTTATTGCTTCTTCATAACTAATCTCTGTGATAGTTTCTGATAACCAGTCTGAATCAGTAGTAACAGTAGTGTCTTTATTTAAGTGATCAGTCGGCTCAGTAACATCAGAAATGTCGGTGTTCTGATTTTCAATTGATTTAGATGAGCGACTATAAAGTGTATTTACATTATCAAAAGTTATATCCGATTCATCGTCTTGAATATTTTTTTCGGAAGACGTTTTTTCCTTTGCTTCACTTTGATTTTTTTTATTAAGAGTGTCCATTAAATTTTTGTTCTCCACCGAATCAGAATATTGGTTTTTAATAGAATATTCATTTAACAGTTGTGATCCCGTGGTTGTAGTTTCTGAGTGCTCATTACCATCAAAATGAAATGATCTCGCTTGATCAGTGACAGATGTTAACGAAGATTTATTATTTTCAGTGTTCTCTAAATTATTTTCAGTTTTGTCATCAGCCGAGTGCAATGAGGTGTGATTGTATTCTATTTCTGTTGTTTCTTGGTTTTTCATGTTAACTGGAATTTCTGACAATGTTGTCGTTTCTATTGGTGTATTTGTATTTAATACTTGATCTTCGGCATTATTTTCAGCATTCATGTTATTGATGTTGGAAGACATTGTTATCGTAGAGTTTTCAGTATTAGGAATAGTACTAATTTCTGTGATTGTTTGGTGCATTTGTTCTTGTTTTTTAATAAAATCATTAAATGAAATGTCTTCATCCATATTATTTATGATATCTTTGGTAGTTGTAGTTTCTTGAACAAATTCATTATCGAAAGTTTTAAACGATCTTTGTTGTGTTAAATAATTTTCATCCATTTTATTCTCAATATTTCTTACAGTATTAGTTATATCAGTCTCATTGTTGTTGTTCTCTAGCCATTCATGATTAATTGGGTCTTCAGTGTTATTGTCTGATATATAGGTAGTAGAATCATTCTGTTTCTTAGTTTTACTTAAAATAGAAATTATTTCAGGTTTTGGTTCATAAGATGGTTCATTTATAATATTCGGTTCAGATATTGAGACCCTGGATGTTGTTTTAATAGGATTTTCACTAGACTGTTCTTCATGGATTGCAGTTTGGAATGTATTTTGTTCTGAATCGTGTTTTGTTTCTGTTTCAAGGTCTAGTTTCGGTTCAGGAGTTGGTTCAGGTTCTGACTGTAATTCCGTATTATGCGATTCAGGTTCCGTCCAGTTTTCAGATAATATTGATTGGTGTTCTGGATTAAAATATGAGTCTGTAGTTGTTTTTGTCTCTAGAATTTCTTTAGCAGATGGTAGGGGTTCAACACGAGGTTCAGAATCTGATTCAGATTCTGCTGTTGGTTCTGCTGTACGTTCGATATTTAGATAATGTTGTGCTGATGCAGGCGTAGCTTCTGCTTGTTCAGATTTTGGTGCCGGCTCTGGCGCAGGCTCCGCGGTTGGTTCTGCGTTTGGTTCTGGCTCTGGTGTCGGTTCTAATGGGTGTTGTTCTACTGATGATTTAGATACAACTGTAGTTTCTATAGCTGGTTCAGATTTTGCAGCTGGTTCTGCAGTTGGCTCTGCAGTTGGTTCTGCTGCTGGCTCGGCGGTTGGTTCTGCTGCTGGCTCGGCGGTTGGTTCTGCAGCTGGTTTTGCAGCTGGTTCTGCAGCTGGTTCTGCGGCTGGTTCTACAGCTGGTTCTGCAGTTGGCTCTGCAGTTGGTTCTGCTGCTGGCTCGGCGGTTGGTTCTGCTGCTGGCTCGGCGGTTGGTTCTGCAGCTGGTTCTACTTTTGGTTGCAGCTCCACAGCAGGTTGAGGTTCAGCAGTAGCTTTTGGTTCTGCTGTTGGTTCAGGTTCTGGCACAGATTCTGAATTTGGTAATTTAATAGGTATTGACTTGGGTTCAGAATTGGTTTCTTGTTCAGAAGAAGGCTCTGGCTCTGGTTTTGGAGTATGTTCGTTATTGTGCTCTTCGTTCATATTACCAAATATATGAGAAAAGTTGACATCAGCTTCAGATTGTGTAGTTGTTTCTGGAACAACATGGTGAGATTCTTTCCAGTCAAAATTTCCATTTTCAGCAACATGTACTGACTCAGTATTTGGTTTTTCTTCTTCTGGTATAGACTTACTTGTGCTCGGATTTTCACCAATTCTCAGAACTTTGAACTCTTTTTGTTGTGTGTCTTCGTTTGAATCTTGTTCTTTTTCTTCTGTATTGCTATATATTGGCTGTTCAAGGTAAGGTACACAATTTTTTGAATTCATCATATCTAATATTTGGCCGTGTGGACAAATACAAGTAAAATCAAGAGTAGTTTCGTCGAACTCGCATTTGTATTGACAATCGTAATTTGATATTTTACATAGGTCCAGAACAGATCTTGTGGTCATTTTGTCTTCGGCGATGTGATAGATATTAATCATTCTGTTGTTTCTACCTAGATAGTTATCGAGGTTTGATTTTAATGATTCGGGTGTCAATAAGTCTTCAGCAGGTTCATGTTCTTTAGATCTTGGTTTCCAGTGAATCCTGTAGGTTACGATCAGCGAACCCTCTCTGTAAGTAAAATAATATACATGGTTACAAATCTACTAGTACGGTACATTTATTACAGTTTGTATGTAGACACTTTTAATTTTTCGTTACGACATTGTGGACGTAAACGGAAATTTTAAAGTTTCCATATAATTGCATATATATTGCACCCTTATTATGACGCGACAGTAGAATCGTACGAAATCGTGTAAACTATAAAAGCGCTCCAATAGTGCTTAATTAATTTAAAAATTTCTTTCTGGATTAATGAGAGTTAATTTCATTCTGGGACTGTGACATTTTTAGGAAAATGAAATGTATTTAAAGGGTTAGCAAATTTAACGAAATGATTTATATATGTGGGGGCTATGCAGTGGTTTGTGGCTTTTGGTCCATGGGTGTGTAGTCTATTCCTGTAATGATCATTTAAAAAAAGGCCGATTTGCTATAATCTTCTGAATAGTCATGTTATATAAAAAAATTGCATTATCGAAATTTTTTTATATAACCTGATAAAAAGATTTCGATAATGCAATTTTTGTTTCAAATAAATTTTATTTAAAACGTCAAATTTTAGATGTATAATTGGATGTTGATTTCAGGAATGGCAATGCATGAGGAGTACCATGGGCGTTAGTGTTATTCTGTAATGTCCATGTCTTCAAGCAATGGTAACCATTTTTCATCAGGTGGGTCATCAGCTTGTTTACCATTTTAAGTACCATAAAAAATTATAATTCTTCTAAGTGTGTGATAAATATAATACTAATACGAGAAGAAAATGTGAATAGAATGTTATAGTAAATTTTATAATACCAACCTGACATCTACTACTTCAACCATAATTTCGTCGTCACCATGCTCTAATGTGTTCCTGTCAAACAGCGCCCTTTTTAGGGCATCACTGAAGGTTTTAACAAATTCCTGGTACTCTGGACTTTCAGGGTTGCGCATCGCATTTGTGAATTCTTCGTTGTCGATCCTCAGCTCACCTTCCACAGTTTTTGGTACTGTAAGAAGATAAAAAGATTTTTTATATTTAAACAACTGAAATTAGTTTGGTTATTATTCTTTTTTGGGAATTAATTTCTTTGACACTGACGAGTTATAATTAAGTCACGTAACAGCTGTTAATTTTATAACTATAAATTTATGAAAAAAATTGAAAGGTCCCGACATAAACCTATATAAAGAGTTGACCTTGAAACGCCTGAACAAATCTTCATAGTCAAAGTAGATCACGTCAGTTTAAAAAAATCTGCATTATAATCGGTCCATTTGTTTAGGAGCTATAAATTCACAAACAAACATACAGACACTTTAAACTGTTAACACTATTCTTTTTGTAGCAGGGGTGTAGCATTTGAAATATTTTTTTTTAAAATGTATTTTTTTCTGATAGAATTTGGCGGGAGTTTAAGTAGAATTAAATACGTTCAAAGTTATTTTTACACTGGTGATATGATTTACAGACTAATCATTCGATAATGCATCTGACTACTCCATTTGGAATAGTAGTCATACGACTATATTATATTTATATAAGTTATGGATTTCATAATTTGGTGTATTTCTACACATTATTACTTCTGACTGATGTGCTGGATATTTATACTCTAATTCGTATTCTTGAGAAAAGATCTGTAACCATAGGTATCCGTATTTGATACTATTTGGCGGGACTTCAATATTTGTTTAAATGATTTAATTTCTTTTTGCAATGCAATTGTTAACACTATATTCTTCAAATACATATTTAACATATATATGTTTACCATATATTGTAGTCTTAAAGGAATTAATTAAAAGATTTTTAAGTCGTAAAAAAGTTGAAATCCGTATTCATATTGGCGGATCTAGACTCGAATGATCCTTATTAGTATCCGCGAATACAAATTTTAATTATCTGACATATAACGTACCTTATACATTACATATAATATATTATAAATTGTGTAAGAAATTAGATTTAGCGTTTTTTGTCTGAGAAATAAGAGAATAAGGAGTCGACATGAAATGTTCATTGAACCTCCTCTTTCTGTAATTTAATAGAATTTTGCCACATCTTTCCCCCAACTTAAGGTCACATAAGTAATTGATGTTCATAGTGGAATGAGAATTTTGTTTTCTGCGAACAAAAATTTTCGCATGACATTTAGTGCAGACACTCGAGATTAATTAGATTTTAAGTAAGTAAACACTTTTAGTTAGCGTATCAAAGTAAACTATAAACTATGCAACTATAAAGCAGCATCTAATTTGATGCAGTATGTTTTGCGTGATGCTAAACAGATAGAAAAAAAAAAATCTAAAATGAATATTTTGCTCTTATCAAGATTTCTCATTTTTTTCCTAAATATGCCCTTTGTCTATCATAAACATATCTTTAAATATCGTCTAGTAACAATTTTATTATAGTTCCGGTATCACATAATTTTTTGAAAATAAAGCACATCTCGTGTTATTCGCTGATAATATAACTTTCTTAAGTATATTTTCGATTTTATCCATTACAAACAAAAAATGAAATATTTCCTTTTTATCACATAGACTTACCATACATAGATAAATCCGATTCATCCGACCCAATGGAGTGATGACTGTCGTCATTCTGCGTGTCTGGTCCGTGTTGTTGGGTTGTGGTTTCCACATTGTGGTCGTGATCGTGGTCGTGGTCGTGGTCGTGGTGGCTGTGGTCGTGACTGTGGTCGTGGTCGTCATGATCATGCTCAAGGGTGATCCCGCCCAGCGCGCGCGCAGAGCTTACTGATGAATTGTATTGCTCCAGAGTTGTTGGTGAGCTCGCAAATAGAATCCCAGCTGAAATGTTAATAAATGTTTACAGGAAATATTTTTTAAAATTATATTATCATATTTGTATAAAAATTGTTTAATTTGATTTAAATATGATACTGTTTGAATTGATTTGCTCCGTAATGTCATATGTAATATGGAATCAATATAGAAATATAGCTTGTCGATTGCTAAAGGAATTCTTAAAATCATTATATAATACATCTCTTTTTGTTTAAATCCAAGAAGAAAAGAGGTTGCATGGAAAAAATGGCACTGACGTTCCTTCTTAAGATTCTCCTGTAGGGGTTTGTTTTGAAGCTCACAATATATATTATTACTAGATGACACAGAAAATGCTGTTCTACCATATAAATTAGGGACAGTAAAACCTTAATTACCTAGCGGTATGAAATATACTTTACAATCTATTCCATGCCTACCATACATAAAAAATTCTTAAGATTGACTGGAAGAAATCCTTTTAAGGGATAATGTCCCCTATGTACATTTTCGTTCTAACCTCATATCTATATTAAAAATGTATGTAAAAAGCATAAATAAATAAAAAAATATCTTAATCGGACATGTCGTTTCAAAGGAGTGCGACCACAAACACCGTGGTGCAATATCTTTATATATATAGATTATTATTATCAATCTAACTTACTTGCTGCTAATACAATCAAAGCGACAATGGCGGCCACTACTAGCGCCAGTAGCGTCCAGCACAACGGTCGTTTGCAACCGCCTTTTTCACCGCGTTTGTCCGCTGTCACGTACAATTTCTCACCTCTGAAACAAGTAGCACAATGCTCTTACAAATAGGTTGATTTATTAAAATGATTTTTAATACATATATATTTAAATTAATTGTATTTTGAATGCAGAATCACGTAATAAGTATATTATCTTCAGAGTTCTGCAATAAGATTTTGTTGTACTAAGAAAATAGCTGTTCTTTTATGATAAAAATAACATGCGATCAATATTGGAATAAAAACTGCGTCTGAAACGTCTCCAAATACTTAGGTGAAATGAGAACAGTTGAAAATAAATTTTAGTTAAGAAATTCATCAGTATCATCATATCGGCCTTTAACTGTTCATTGCTAAATATAAGTCTCCCCCTTGGGTGGTTTTGCCAGTAGTTGCCATGCTTGGCAAGCGGATTGGCAACTGCAGTTAAGTTTTAGATGTTTTAAGAGGGACGCTGCTACCTATCCCTCGCCCTTCTTTAGTCACCTCTTATGACACCCACGGGAAAGGAAGGGATAGGCTATTTTATGCCTGGACTACACGGCCGAGTTCATACTTGAACGTTTACATATATTCAGATTTTCTAGCTTTTTTTAGCGGAATCTTGACTGTTTACAATTATGAATTTTATATAATGTATTTTTACAACTTTTAAACTAAAACTTTAGAGGAATTTAAATAATCTCCCTTCGTTCAAGTAGGTATTTTTATAAGGCAAATTACCTACTTATTGTTTTTAAAGTCCCGACTATTTCTACTTATTGCTTAACAATTTTTATATTTATTATATGCAATTGGCTACTTTTACCTATGGCTGTCAATGTTTATATTTTAATAATAAAAAAATAATAGGAAATTTGGGTTTTGTAGTGTCTTTCTCTAAATGTACACCTCTTGGGATTTTTTAGATAACAAAAAATACCTAATATTTTCATATTGGAAGCTTTTAATGAAGAACAATCATTAAACCAATGATTATAAGGTAGAAAATTACTCTAGCATCATCGTCACTAGTAATTATTTTTTGATAGGGTCAGATGTGTTCACCAATGCACCTATGCAAATATGAGATGCCAGAGGAATGAATGGCTTCGGTATGTATCAATATGTTTTTATTATAGTTATTATTTTACTATGATGTAAAACTTGAATTTATGTTTAGTGTTTTACGTTATTAGTCGTTGTCTACTGCTATTTACTGACACTACAACGTTCTCATCTCCTGTATGGCTCTACTCTCTTAGTATTTTATAGGATACTAATTAGGCAGTGGATAGCAATCGAAACTATTCATGTGTTGACAAATATTTTATTTTTGTTATAACCAGTCATTGTTTTATTTCGCGGGATCATCTCTTATTTAATCCTAGTTGTATTCTGCAGCTTTATCTATGTTAATCAGTACATATTGTCCGCTAAATGAGAATATAACCTACTCGCGTACTCAAAATTTATTTAAATCCGTTCAGTAGTTTTTGCGTGAAAAAGTAACAAACATCCATCCATCGTTACAAACTTTCGCATTTTTAATATTAGCAGGATTTATTATTAAAATAAACACATGAATTTGCATGTATTTTATTATTGTAATTACATAGGTGTATCAATGACTATGAAAATATAGTAAAATCTATATTCGGAGAACTACTGAGTACATGAAAATGTATTCAGTGATTTTTATCTATTATAACGGAAGTATTGAGGGTTTTACACGGTTGTAAGCTTCGCGTAACCTAGTCCATAAATACAGAGCTAGACCAGTTTGCAGCTATCTCGTTCCCACTTCCACAATTTGGTAACTCCACGACAAGGCTAGACGACAGAAGTGTTATAGAATACCGAGATATGTCGGTTAATATAAAATCCGTCTCTCCAGGTCCGAGGCAAGCGCGGTCAGGTCGATGCCCCGTGCTTTGTTCCTGCGCTTGCGCATGCTCCCCCCCCCTCTTTTGTAACATGCCCCCCCCCTGCACGCGGAACAATCGACTTTGTTATGGTCCCTAGGACTTTTACGTGACGTGAGCCCTCATTTAGGACCGCACTGGTGGTGTTTTGCCATTCGCGTGTTAACAGCATTAAAAATGTAGCCATAAGTACGAAATACTTAAACAAAAACTTTGCACCTATAGAGCTTTAAACTTTCTCGTAAGACTTTCAGGGCCCATTTAAAGTTTCTTAATACTGATGTTTCTGTGAGTTTCAAATATTATTGGTCTTTATTTGTTTGTGATTTTAATTTTGTCAAATAACTTATGCCAAGTTTATCCGAGGGTTATTACTATGTTAGATTATCGAGTTGGAGCCCCCTATAAGAGATAAGCAGGCCACCAAACTTGCCTTCAACACTAGATCTGTCACTTAGCATTATAGATCCTTTGTGACATGAAGATCTTAAGTTACAGTAGGTATTTTATAATTTTAGTGTTATTAGTGGTAGTATTATTGTCACCATCATCATATCAGCTTTTAATTGTTCACTGCTGAACTTAAGTCTCTCCCTAGAGGGGTTTTGCCAGTAGTTGGTTGGTTGCCGCTTGGTAGGCTGATTGGCAACTGCAGTTAGGCTTTGGAGACGTTTTAAGAGACGCTGCTGTCCATCGCTCGCCCTCTCTTAGGCGGCCTATTCTAAGCAGGGACCACACAGCAAGTATTATTATATCACCGTCCAAATATGAACATACTCGTAAATCTTCCTCCAGTAATCGAATTTATGAGAATCATTAACCTATTGCCACTTGTTCTGTATTTTGTTTCCTCTAACATACACTTGGTCACCCATAATACTTCATAGTTCGAATACTGCTCTATTTTTTGCATCTCGTGATACATGTCTGGCTACATTTGTATTAATTTATTGTATTTTATTTATGTAGGTAGTTCAAGGTTCTAGTCAAGTTAATTTCAACTTAACTATTAACTGGATCATTATTAATTTTTATTATGTTTCATTAATGTATGAGGTTTGTAAAGGTTTGATCATCTAGGAAACAATTTGCGTAAATTTTAATTGTAATTATGTAAGATAGGCTCTTTAATATGGAAGACGAGTTTCTAGGTTGTTATTGTATTTAAAAACTACTGACTGAAAACTATCCAAGCTAAGAGTACTACGACCTAGTTTCCCACGCATTCGATCGCTCGACTCATTGGGCAAGCGAGTATCTAATAAGCGGTGCCATTCCATTATGAATGAACCGAAATATCAGTGTTACAAAACTGGTGTGACATGTTATTGTTGTAGGGCTTTGTTTAGTGGAATACCTATGTTTCGTCATTGTTAAGTATTGACAGGAGATGACATGATAATGGCACCGCAGGGATTATGAAAGGGTTTTAGTATATTGCTCATTAGGTAGGTGTTTCCTTATTGAATTATTCTACGCAAAGATATTTAATAAGTATATAAAGTTTCAAGTAAGGTTTGACGTAAAAAAAATTTCGCTTACACATACAAAATTAGATACCTATTAGTAACATTTCTATTTTAAATTTGAACAATCTTAAAAAAAAATTTATATTTTGGTCGATTTGTTTCGGAGAAAGTTGTTTATAGAAAATATTAGGTAATTTATTTTCGGATTTCAGATTGTACACGCATTTCATTATATCTACTGGGCGTAGGTGTATGATAAAATAGTATAGCCGAGAGGTTACACGTACATACAAACAATAAAATATAAAATATTCCAACAGTAAATACCTTGTGAGGTCTGTGGTACATTGAAATGGTCTACCACACATGCGGCTCTCACGAAAACATAAATACGCCTAATGAATTCTTGATTAATGTTAAATAAGTGATGTCACCAGTTTTTAATTTTGGGTTGTTACGCACTGTCATATAGACATATCTACTTAAATGAAGAGTTGACTAAGTGGTAGCTACAGTAATGATCACGACCTAATTTCAAATGAAGTAAGTAGTTAGTGGCATTATAGTGGTTGTTATGGTGAATGTAGAACATTATGTGTTGTCGAGTATATTTGATTTATATTGAATACTCTTATCGATGTCTATATTGCTATAAAATTTTCTTATTTGAATTTGAGTAACAGAAACATTATGAATGCACAAAATTTTTCCTTGAAGTGAAGGAAGGAAGGGACGAATTAAAGTAGAGAGTTGCATTATCTAGTAATATAGTAGTGTAATTAATATTATTGTTGATTAATGAATCTTGTCAACAAGTAATGATTTATACTTATGTATGACTACCGGGTGGTTCGGTTTCGCGTGATTATACAATAAGTTTTGTGGCGCGGTGGAGGTATATCATCGCATCACACTGATGTCAATATATGTAATCAATGATTAATTTTCCAAAGTTTTTACGTCATATTCATCTTTCTTATTAACCTATACTGAGTTGGAGAGTCAGTGATTTAATAAGATGAATATAACGTCGAATCCGTGGAAAATAAATTATTAATTAATAATAAAATTTATTCAATATAAAACCTATTACAGATGCTATTACACAGTATAGATTCAACCATAAAATGATATATAAGTGATTTAATTATTTGGTAATCATAAAATAATTTAGTGATATTAAGTGGATTTTATTTTAAGGTTTATTTGACTAGAATTAAATTTGAGAAAATTAAAAATTTGAAAATCTGAGAGAAATTGTAAATTATTTTAAGAAGTCGTCAACGCTTTGATATCGATGACGATATGATATGTAGTATGAGATGAATTATGAATGAATTAACATAAGTATATAAGGATAGAGGCTTTTGGCATTCGACTCGAATATAAATCCCAATATCTTCACGCATTTATTTAGACGCTAAGAAATAAGAACCCACTTAAGGATTTATTATAATAACTAAATAACTACACATATTTTACTTGTTTATGAATGTAAGTGGGTAACTAACTAATAACAACGAATTGTTTTGCCTCAACACAAATATGACGCAGTGACAGTTTGAACGGATTCTTAAACCGAACCTAAAGGAGATTTTTCAGGTATGGGCATTATCTTGTGCATTGTTTTGAATTTCTTTAAGTCGACATCGTTGGTTTGTTTT